AAATAAATAAATAAATAAATAAAGTGAAAAAGAGATGGTAGGAAAGAAGAAGGCATAGTTTTTGACATGGAGGGGATTACGGGGGAGATTAGAGGTAATGGAGAGGTGATAAAAGGATTGCCAATGAACAAGAAATGTTATATACATGCCGATCCCTCCAAAGTGATGATAAATGTTATGTATTATAAACATAAAGTAATAAATGTCTCAGGAAGTTTGAATACTGACAGAGAAAGAAAATGTTTTAAGAGAATTTAAGTGATTAGGAGCTATGTCTGTCTTCCTGGCTTGAGAGCCTTTAAGAAATTCTGTTTAGCCATATTCTCTTACTTGTAATGGGTTATTGTACATTCCTGTACCATGCCTAAGCTAGCAGTTTTAAAGACTCCATCTGGATAGCCAAATAATCTTTCTTACATTCTTCAACTCTCTTTGTTTCCTTTCTGATTTGTGGAATATAAAGGCAGTGATGAATACATAAGTGTAAGTGAAGCCACTGCCTTATCTCATATCATAATGGTTTCAGACCTTAATTCACAGATGATTTTGTATCATTTAGTAATTTTATTATAAAATAATTTTACTCATAGAATTTCTGACTCTTAACATTTTTCAGATGGAATTTATCACAAATATTAAAATGAGTCTAAAGCAGCATGATATAAACAAGTACATGTACATATACTAAACGGGAGAATTCAAAGCCATTTTCCTTCTTTTAAATTGCAGAACTATTGCATGTTATTGAACTTTCTGAAGCTAGTATCATCAATCTAAAATGTGCAGACTTACATTTTCCTTCTTACAAGTAATGAAAATTTCATGAATATCTTAAATTATATGAATATTTTAAGATTACATGAATATCTTATATAAAAGTGCTTTACACATTATAAAGATCTCATGGAATATTATTGTATTTCTGATGGTAAATATTTTGATGTAAAGAAATTTGATTTTTGCAAATTTACACTTTAACTTCTCATGTTGAATGAAATACTATCATAATGAAACATGTTATTTATATACACACATATATATGCATGTGGGAAGCTTGTCTATATAAGATTGTTTCATGTGGAAATCATGTCTCTTAAAATACTTCTAAGTGGGATACAAGATGATATGTGTATTGGTCCTATAGTTCAATAAACATATGTTATTCAACATTGGTTTTAGTAGTCTTGAAAAATAACCATCAAAAGCACTTTAGCATTCCTTTTTTCTATTATTTGACAAAGTGACATGTAATTCCAGAGATATTATTGCCAAAGGCTACACAAAAATTTAGTTAGATACTTTAATTTGTTTCTAACTTTAACTCTGGTTTTCTTTTCTTCATGAATTGGAAAGGATGGAGGGAGAGAGGAACGGAGGGAGGAAGGGAGAGAAATAGAAAGAACACAAAAGAGAAGTATGTAAAAAATTGTACATTTTTAAATCATGAATTGAAGTATTAGGAAAAATGAATTGGTCTTACTGTCTCCAGTACCCAATTTTTACAGTGATCTATGACCATCCATCAGTAGAATGAGTTATGAAGCTAGACTTAATGGTCCATATTCTTCAATATGTGCTGATAATGCCAATTAGTACTAATAGGTTATGCTGGCACTTCAAGTCAAGAAGAGCTCTGTGAAGTTCCTAGTTTTTGCTTATAATCCATTTTCTTTTGCCTATTGTCATACAAGCAAGGAATAAAGATGATGAGTTAACCTCAATCAAATGCCATTTTCCATGTCAGCGAATCATTTATAAGGTAGACTGATATTACATTATAAAGAAAGAGATTCCGGAGAGAATTAGACCATGTGATAGATTAATGCTATGTAAATTAGTATTCTAATGGCTAATTGTAGGAAAGTGTGCAGTTTGAGTCATTGTATCATTTTCAAGTGGTTCTAAAATTTAGACCTTTCCCTTTCAGATGGTTTATTTCTGTGATACATTTGAATTGCACAGAAGATTTAACTTGTTCTCAAAATTATGTTTCATGTATATGAACATAGCCTTATATAGTAATACACATTTTATAACAGGGCAATAGTATTTTGAAATTATATTCCTGACACGCTAACAAACATCTCTCCTTTTAGGAGTTTAATAACATGGTAATGTTTATGTAAAGTGGGCTTATAGTGTCACACTTGAATCTAATAAAGTGGACATCCATCATGTTGCAATAAAGAGAAGAGGTTCTAATTAAAGTAGGACATCAGTTGCAGGATTAAAGTCATTTAGCGTAATTGAAAAGTGTTAATACCCTATTTTATCCTCTTCCATTGGTATTACTTCAAGGGTAAAAACATTTTAAGGTGAAAATGTGTCTTGTGCCTTTAATTGAATGTTATTACCTCCTGATTGCTACTTATTGAAATTGTTTAATTACAAACCTGGAAAATTAATTACTATATCGAGAAACAGATCCCAGAGGGTTATAATGTTCTTTTTTTGTACGTAAATACAACATAAAAATTGATGTCCTTATTTATAATCCAACTTTGAAACATACCTCAATATGATTTATTATACCCAAATGGTTTTTCTTAATTGATCAACAGTAAAACAACATAGGTCACGCAAATTAATGTCACTGCTCTCGTATAGGCATTTTAAAAATTTGTATTAGGCTGTATGAACTATGTGATAGTCTTTAAAGGTGTATATAATATATACGTGTATGTATATATATACATACATAAATATATATATGTGCATATAGTACTTTTAAAAGTAATACTATAAAAGTCTTTACAGTAATGTGCATGCTTTTAGAACTGTTCTACATTCTTTTAAATTTTTCAGTGATTGGTTTAATCTTGTCTAGATTGTAGTGTTCAGTCATAACTCCTCTGGAAGCTGTTATGACATGCAGAAATCTTATAGTAGAAAGAATTTCAGGTCTTTTTGTTCCAATCTCACAAATACACACACTTTTGAATATCTTTAAGACAAGTTCAATTATCCTGAAGTATTCAAAATGATAAGCAGTTATATTAATTTATATAAAGTACACACATAGTTAATGTTACAGTCTACATCCTCACAGAGTCTGAGGAGCTAAGTCACAGGAATATTTTTCTGCCCCCTTTACACATGGGGAAACTGTGTTTCAAAGATATTAAATAATTAGCTGAAGGTCAGAGATAGAATAAAAATGTTTTAGAGATATAAAAATGTTAATTACCCCTATTTGATCAGTATATACTCTCAACATGTGTTTAATATAACATTATACCCCATAAAAGTACAAATATTACATGTTAATAAAAAGTAAATTTTTTTAAAAAATCAAGTTTCTAAAAATATACATGGTAGAATTTTTTTCTTCAACTATAGCATGCTTCTTTCATAGAGCATATTATTTCCCCATATTTGGAAAAGCTTTCCCAGTCAAACCCAGTGTGTTCTATATTATCACTTCAGTACCGTATATTTCCAAATCTATATATTTTTCAACCATATTCCCATAATTTTAATGGTTGTTAATTTAATCATCCTTCCAAGAGAGAACAGAATACTGATGAGATTGTATTTGCCTCCACAGAACCTACTGTTCCCAAATCAACCCCAGCCGCCCAACAGTCGATGTTCTGTGTCACCAACTGGAGACCTCACAATCACCAACATTCAGCGTTCAGACGCCGGCTACTACATTTGCCAGGCCCTAACTGTGGCAGGAAGCATTTTAGCAAAAGCTCAACTGGAGGTTACTGATGGTGCGATATTGCTATTAATTTATCTCGTGAAAATATTTTTATTTCAAGATAACATTACTCATGTGAAATTTTATGATTTATTGAATGATTTAGATCAATACCTATCTTTTAAGTTTGAATCCGGGAGAAGTAATATTTTCAAGTAGTATCTAATTCTCTCTGAGTGAATACTGTTTTATAATCTTCAAAACACATCAGATGCAATCTGTTTTAATCTAAAAGATACAATGGTGCATTCTTTTAAAGCAAAGCTATCTCACTGTGTTTAGAAATGTAATCTGTATTTTATTTACTCTTATAATGACATGACTACTTCTAATGGATATTAATAATTTTATTTTACTGAAAGAAGAGGAAATATCGTCTTTAATATTACCAGTGTAACAGAGATGAGTTTTTAGATAGCTAATCACATTTTGACATTCCAGTGACTTTAATTATACATTAACTCAGTTAAATTAATTAAATAACTTCTGAAGTATTGAGGAATGCTAAAATTATTATTTTTACTTGCACATATGCACTTTGAATCTAAATTGAGGTACTTACATTCATAGTGAATGTTGAAAATTATCTAGTTCTTTCTCAAAAGTATGTCACAATTGACAAATACAGCATCTTAGATATTTTGTGAACCTCTGAGATTGAATTTAAACACTCTACTTTGATTTATTAAAATAATTAAAAATTATTTTTTCCTGTTGTATATTTCTGAGATATTTCTGGTGTTTTTCACCCTTAATGCTGGGTTCTGAAATATAAAGGCTTTAGTATGTGGCTTGATTTCTTTCTCTGTTGGTAAAATTTCATGTGCTTTCATGCAATTCAAATTTACATGTAGATTAGAAGGTCATTTAAAATTAATAGAAAGAAAGTATCCTTTAATATCTATCCATGGTCTGACCTGATTCAGCATCATGTCAGGAATGGGAATAAATAGCAGAGACAAACACTGGCTGCAGACGCTCAGGCATTAATGGCTGCACCTGCTGATGCTACAGAGATTTACTGCTACACAACTGAAAGGAGAAGTCAGGTTCAAGGGTAACAATGATGAGCAATTGTTCCTTAGATGCACAAGATCTTTGATCTCTTATACCTTGATAGGTCTTTAAAGGAGCAAGAGATAATTATTAGTCTTTTTAAAGTTCTATTTTCTATCAGGAAAAGTCTAGATACATATATATGGAAACTATGATCTTTGGGCTAAAGCCTCATTATCAGTCTATATTACTACAAAACATTTTCAAACATGATGCTTAAGATGTCAACTATAATACAGGATCAACAAAAACAAACTCTAAATATTTCTAAATGAATACCTTTTATGGAAAAGGAAAACAAATTTATAGAAAACAAAATGGGTAAATTAGAAGAGGTCATTTATGTGACTGATAGGTTTCGTGAGAGAGCTAGATATTCAGAATTATATCTGAGGTAATAAAAAGGAAATTTTTTGAAACTTGTGTTAACTGATGATATCTGACAACTAGCTTTGCTTTGGAGGTTAAAATTAAAAGAGTGATGGCCAAGTTTAAAGTTTTTTATCACTGAATGGCTCTGAACATTTGTTACAACTGGATTGAATAGTAATTCCTTCATTGATATTTACTTAAGTAATAAATCAAAATGTCAAAATTCTTTGGCAGAAACATTTAGTGGAGGTTATAGAATTGTTGATTTCCATAACTAAAAATTTCACTTTTATACACACATAATTATTATAAATAATCTGTCTCTAAATATTAAGTTGCCACATTGGCTAATGATTTCAGCTTTCATTCATAGCTCAGATTTTTTTCACATTGTTGATAATTTAATAATATTTGAACCATCATTTTAATTTTGAATATCTTTTTTTGCATGATCCAACTGAAATTCCATTGTAGAATGAAAATACTTGTCATATTCAGAGAAACAAGTAAAAATTCCATCTAGAGAAATGTTTCTACTGTTATATTTTCTGCAATTAGACTCATATCTTGGGAATATTTTAAACCCAAGCAATCATATGATATTGCTAATGGTGAGAGCAAGCACCATGTTTATTAATTTATTGATTATGAATTGAGCTAAGATGTGTTGAAATACACTTATAAAATATATTCCTAAAAGGCATTATTTATATACTGGTACTGTAGTTTACATTTCTCCTTTATTTCTTGCTCTTTTTCTCTAAGAAAATTAGAAAATTTTAATGAAAATTCTGTGAGTAGAGCAGTTAGAATCTAAAAGAACTGGAAAGATGAAATATATTTATATCTTATAGTGGCATAAATGTCACACCATGATTTGATATGAATCATTTATTGAGGATTTATAATGCATAGAGAAGACCATGGAGTTGTTCACAGATCACTGGAAACTCTAAATGTTCATTTAAACTTTGACCTCAGTGGCAGAGAAACCTGTGGTCATCTTTCACTGAGAACATCTTTGAAACTGAAAATTCCTAGCTAGGAGATTTTTAATTACATTATTGATCAAAGTCATCAAAAGATTATGAGCTACACTCCCAACAACGTATCTTCCCCAAAGAATTAAAAGAATCATACCACAGCGATATATGTGCACCTATGTTTACAGCGGCACAGTTTGTAATAGCTAAGGTTTGCAAACAGCCCAAGTGCCCATCAACTGGAAACAGGATAAAGAAGATGTGGTTGTTTTTATCAAATAGAGTACTACTCAGCCATAAAGAAAGAGAAACTAGAGTCATTTATAGCTAAATGGATGCATATTGAGGCCATACTCTTAAGTGAAATGAATAGGACACACATGTATAAATACCGAATAGTATCTCTAGTGTGAGAAACTGAAAGTGTAAATAAGGATGAAAATGATTAAAACGAATAATTGATAATTTGAAATAGGAAAAGGTCCAAAGGTGGAGGGGTGGCAGGAAGGGAAGGGGAAAGGAAAGAAGGGAAAGGAAAAATTATGTGAAAAAAAAAATGGAAACAAAGTCTATGTAAATAGGGAAGGGTGGAGGGGGTGAAGGGCACACAGGTAATGGGAAAAAAAATAAGAACTAAGATACATCATGTTCAGGTACAAACACCCAATGATAAATGTAAATGTACTGTATACCTAAAATGTACCAATTAATATATAAATTTTAAAAAGATGATGAGCTAGTCTTTTAGATAGAAAAGAGTCAGAGAGAGAGAGGGAGAAAGAGAGAGGGAGAGAGAGAGGAACTAATTAGATGAACTTTGGCTTTATCTAGTGATTTTAGAAATATAGCAGTAAAACAGGTTATAAGATGTTTCTGAAATTCTATACTAACATGTAACTTGAAACAAAGAAATAACAACATTGAAGACTTCATAAATAAATTGTACTCTAATAATGGAGTCTTATTTTCCCTCTGAATTGAAAAAAAACACTCTTTATAAGGTTTTTTGAACTGGTCTTCTGATTTTAACTAATAAAAGAATTCCATAAAACTTTCAATTTGAATTTCTTTTTGCCTAATTATTACTGGATGTATCAGAATTATAATACTGTGCCCCACATCTCAAGATTATTTTTTTACTTCTAAAATGAAGAATGTGAACAAGAAAATCAGTGAAATAAGTTTTTCTAGTTTTAGTTTGTGAACAACAAATAATTGTTTTGTGATTTTTTTCATAGGTTTTCTGATTGATTTAGTAGATTTAGGTTGATTGGAGCCAATGGTATTTTAATATTCCAGGGCTATATATCATAACCTTAATTTAAATTATAATTGGCTTCATGAAATATTTTGAAGAGCCTGATAATTTTAATGATTTCTTCCACAACTGTGAACTCAAATAATAAAGATGGTGTATACACATTAGGAAATAGTACTGCTAACTGGTGTTTATAAAAGCTAGAGGACAAAGGAATTTAGAGCATCAAGAAAAATGACATAACTTTTCTGATTATGTACATTAGACAACCTTTTCAGAAAAATACTATTTCTTATCACAATTGCTAATCAGTACTTGGAATCTATATATGTGCATGATTAAAAATTTGGGGATAATTAATCAAGGTCTGTGCTCTCTAAACCATTACAAAACTTTCTCTTAAGAAAGCCATCATTGGACCAAGCCATTTGATTTTGATTTTAATGAATTCTTAGTGAAACTTTACCTTCTTTTAACTACATACCATTTCCACATACCATTTACATAATGCTAAGCATTCAGATGTGTTTCTTGGGTGATTTTTTAATACTTCTGAAGTCATGCAAGATCCTACTTCTTTAATTATTTTATAAACAAAAACATACTGCAGTAAAAGTTTATGAGATCATGGAAAATTTACTGAAATGAGTACAGAAATTGTAATACATGTATAAATATGTATTTTATATGAAATTTCTATTGTAGTCATATCATAGAGTCTTACTAGATTATTTTACTTTCTGTAATTATATGTACTAATTAGAAAAAAATCATCCAAATAATATGACCATAATTGAAGAACTAATATGATGAGCTTGCAAGTACATTTTTTTACTTAGTATTTTAATATAAAGAAATTACTTCAGCTAATGTACACAGTGAAATTATAAGGAGTGAATTACAAAGTTGTGCATATATTTAAAATGAAAGCAGAAGTGAAGATTGATTCTACTTATAAAATCCTCCAAGGGCTTTCTAAAGAATGCATGGGAGTGATAAAATGAATGTTTTTCATGAATGACTGGTATAAGCTATTTATTATAGTACAGCTAAGCCTTTTAATAAAAATAAACTTTTCTAAAATGTCAGAATTTATCCCTTTATCATTATAATTATAGTTAACGTAGAATAAGTAACAAACAATAGTATGGTCTTAGTACAGTACATCTACTTGTATGTGTAATAGTATGGATGGGAGCTCTGTGATATGTATTTAATATACAGAATATATTATGAGAAGTATAAATGGCTTTGGAGTTTTAACCTTTCTTTCAATATCCATATCCTAAACTGCTGAGTGTCATAAAAGCAAAAAATAGCCTGATTATATTTTTATTCTTTAGTTCTGACAGATAGACCTCCACCAATAATCCTACAAGGTCCAGCAAACCAAACACTAGCGGTAGATGGTACAGCGTTACTGAAATGTAAAGCTACTGGTGACCCTCTTCCTGTAATTAGTTGGTTAAAAGATGGATTTACTTTTCTGGGTAGAGATCCAAGAGCAACTATCCAAGAGCAAGGCACACTGCAGATTAAGAATTTACGGGTAAGTATTATTTGACTTGTCCTTTAGCCCTCATCTTAGCATAAGTATTGCTCCAGGGAAAAACTGTTTGGTGAACTTAGGATCTTACATTTCAGTGTAATTCTTGCACATTTTATAATAGTTCATGTTATTTCTTACTTTAAAAATGATTAATTGAAATTAGAGAAGTCATTGTTCATATGTTACTCATGAATTCATGACAAACCTAGAATCACTCATGAATTCATAACAAACCTAGAATCTTTTTATTCCAATATCCTATCTCATATGTATTAAATAATTGAAATGAAATTTTATACCAGTTTAAGTTAATAATAGTAGTTATTTAGACTTTTTGAAAAATTTGACAAATTTTTATGATATTATTCTCACTTGTAAAGGAAGATTGTGGAGACATATAGATAAATTGGATTGGCCAATTTTACAATTGTGTGAAATGAATAAAGACATGAAACTGAGTATATAGAAGGGGGATTTGACTAGTCAGAGGGAGCCCTCAGATTTTAAGTTAAGTTGCTATTGGTTTTACATTTAAACCCATGAATGAGAAGAAGTCATTAGTAGTCTTTTAATTGAAGTTTATTTGGAAGACAATAACTATTCTTAGAAACTTAATACACTGGATATGTTTCAGGGACAACCCAAAATAAAATATGTGCTTCTGAATATTGTATTAATTATCTATTACCATGTAACAATAGTAGGGAAAATAAAGAGGTTTAAAATAATCCACAGTTATTATCTGACAGCTTTGTGAGTTAGAAGCATGGCCATGGCTTAGCTGGGTCTTCTACTGCAGGGGTTCACAGAGCTACATGATTAAGGTCATGATCTTATCTGATGATTGACAGAGGATTGATTTGCTTCCAGGCCACAAGGCTGTTGGTAGTTTAGTACAGAGTTCCTTGTGACCACTGGATTAACAACCTCAGCATCTTGCTGGCTGTTGGTTGGAGGCTGCCTTTAGTCTCTTTTTATGTGCATTTTCCTGATATGACTGCATATTTCTTCAAAGTCAGCAAGGAAAAAAGTCTCCTAGCAAGAAGGACATTACATTTGTGTGTAACAAAATCACAACCACATGCTGAACATATGCTGAACTTTGAAATAGTCTATTGGCCAGGAGGAAGTCAAAAAGTCCCAGCTACCCTTTATTCAGGTGAAGGATTACAGAAGGTGGGAAAACTAGATGGATGTTAATGTGAAGGATTTCTGTCCTCTACCAGTATATTCAACATGTTCAACCAAATATAGTAAATCTACCCTGACCTGCCCCATGGAGCATGCACTGGCCTAAGATGAACAGTACCTTATCCTAATCACAAAACTGAAGATGAGAGCTAAAACCAAGGTAGTTAATGCGATAAGTGCATGAAGACAAATTGCTTGAAAATGATTTGGTGGAAGCACAATTAAAAGAATCTAGTGCCCAGGTAAAAATTAAGATCCAAGATGAGTGATAAAAAAACAAAATAACGTTGCTGAGTTTTCATATTCAGAACACGGAGAGGAAGGTAAAAGTGTTTTACTATATGTGTGTTCATATGAGGAGAATCATACCCTGAGGGTTGAAGTACATTTACAATTACAGTTTACAAGTTGTTTATCAGTGTATCATGCAGATGCAAATGGAAGCGTGATTCAAACACACATAAATAAAATGTAATGTAATAATCTATGTATGATTTTAACTATGATTTTTGAGGCATAAGAATTAATTTTTTCTCTAAGAAAACTGCTGGCAAGTTTAGTTAAAGGTAAATAAATTAGTAAGACTCTTTTTAGTCTTTTTATGTTTGTAAATTAACTTTCTGTGAATAATTGAAAGTTATTAAAAAATTAATGCCAACTCTTCTTATGTAAACACTTTAACTTCTGTCTTTGGGCTGAAGGCCAACATGGGCCATGGGAAGTTAATGCATTTTCACTGATTTGCTGAGTTAGACAGTGTGCTTGAATAACCAAGATGCTTAGTAAATTTTGAAAGAAGCAACTGAAGGTGTGTGCTTGATTGTGTCAAGCTTTGAGCCCTCTGACAGGCTTCTGAGTAGTCTGTCTATGAAATCTCAGCCCTGAAGGCTTAACTGCAGCCAACTAAGGGCAGAAGTATGTGATGGACTATGCTACCCATTCATCTCTTTTTAAAGCAACTTGTTAGGAATTAGAGGATAAGGATGGAAAAGAATTGAAGAATTTCTAACCAAAACCAAAACAAAAAAATGCTTAGAGTTAAAATAATGAAAAGGAATATGATGATGGAAGCCGATGTGACCTAACAGCGAAATTTAACAAATGACATTGAACCATTTAACATCACAAACTCTGAGTATATTGGTTTTTTAAAATTTATTTTGTTTTTGTCTTTGTTTTGTTTTGTTTTTATGAGATGAGTATTTTTAAAGAGAGATTAAAAGGAGCATTATGGTACTTCCCTTTTCCAGTCATGAAAGGTTTTTCTATAGGTCATATCCCTCTGTGTCTCACTACTTCTTTTTTATTACTTAATGCAAGAAAAAAAAAAAAACATGATGAATATTGTGTTCTCATAGTCCAGCTAATTGGTAACTAAATTTGTATCTTTTGGAAAGTAGAATATTCTGAAACTCATTAAAGCCTACCTACTACAGCTAATGTCAGACTTGTATCTCCCCACAGTGACAATGACACCCAGTTAAGAAGCATTACCTACATACTCTTCTTTAGCATTTTCACAGAATAACAAGTGCTCCATTTTAGTTTAACAGCTATAATAAAATGCAAATTCTTTTACAGTCCATATTCAAATGAACATCCCATTAAAATCCAACCTCTGCTCATTATATTTAGTTTGTGAGTGATGCTTCTTAAATGCAAAGATTTCTAATGACTTTAATGTGCATACAGCCACATTTGAAAGAATAGCTTATTCCACAATAGCTATTTCCATCATGCCTCCATGTAATAGAATACAATGGTACAGAGATGATATGGTAAGGAATAACGAGCCAGAGCAATTTGAAACTTATGTTAAAATACATAATGACATTTAAAATCAATTAAATTTTGTGAAATGGCAGTGACATCCATGCACTAGTGATTTACCTGAGAATCAATTGTGAAATCTAAAGTCATCAGTATACTTACACTTTGAAACGAGCAGATGTAATATTCCATGCACTCCCATATTTATTCAACAGTTAGACCCATCTTCATCACAGAACTTTAATCCTACATCTTCTGTCTTTTCTTCTTCTTTTCGTTCATCAGTTTCTCTTTGTCTCCCATTTCCTATACACCTAACCTAATGGAAATGAATATTGTTTGCATTATTAACCAATAGAGTCCAGCTGCATTGGATCTTGGATCTGATTTCAAAGTACACACACAGAATTATTGACTTTGCATTGGTTATATTTTGGTTATATTTTCAACTCTTTGTAAAGTCCTTGGCTACTCTTCCATGAATAACAAAACATTTTAAATGATCAATGAAATGACAATTCTTAAACGTTTCTTTCAAAAGAATTATATGTTAGATTATTTTTGTGATCCTTTTCAGATCTAGATTGCAGTGACTGTAGGAATGGTTGATTTGTTTTGTAGTGATGCAACTTTATTTTACTCACTGCTATACTGCTGCAGTTTACATGAGTACTTATTCCTTAAAAGGAAAAAAATAGTTTTCCTTTTGTAAAAATTATTTCTTTCACCATATTTCTCTTTGTATAGAGGAAATGTGACCCACTACCATCTCATTGCTTATTTATGGCTAGGGAAATTTTATCTACTAAAATATATTTTGAGACAAAAAAGACCACTTGGCATTACTGACATGCTGTAATCTTATGAGATTCAAAGTCAATTGTGTTCTGAGTTGTCTGTATCTAGCTCTGACATAATAAAGTCCCACCAGAAAGTGGACTTGATAAAAATATTACCATGAGGAAAGAAAGAGAAAAATACAAACAGAACTTTCAAATAACATTTGGTGTAGAAATATGCTTTTTAAAAACTTTTAAATCAATATTATGAATAAGATTATATGAGTTAATTTTCATATTTTATGTATATACACGATTGACTCTAATGAAATATTTGGACAGCCCATTGATATGCCTCAATTTATGAAAGTAAATACTGCCTGGTTGAAATTGAGTAATTATTCTACAAGCTTCTTATGATTGATGTCTCTCTCTTCTCTGTGTACTAGATCTCTGATATGGGCACTTACACTTGTGTGGCTACAAGTTCAAGTGGGGAGACTGCCTGGAGTGCAGTGCTGGATGTGACGGGTGAGTTCTTTGTGAATAATTTTAGGAGTAGAGATTTTGAACTCCTCCTGATAGGCGATTATCAAATAATAAGAAGAGATTGAGATTTGAATTTAATTGATGGTAAATCTAAGTCTTCACATTCAGTGTCACTTTTAATTCCTACACCATTTGTGACACAGCATTGCATTTGCACAATTTATCACATTTGTTCTTGATAACTGTTGTTATTTTACTTTCCCCAAAGTGTAAGCAATTCTAGTGATCATGTATGAAAATGAAGTTTACACTTGTTAATTTGGAAGAAGCAGATATTTGTTTATACACTTGTGATTCATTAAGATGATTCTTCACTGTCCAAGTCATCTTTACTGGACTGGGTCCTTTTAAACATCTCATCAACTTATGCAGTCAGTATTAAAGTTCTTTCCTGTCTATTCTTCATAGAATCTGGAGCAGCAATCAGTAAAAATTATGATTTAAATGACCTGCCAGGGCCACCATCCAAACCACAGGTCACAGACGTTACTAAGAACAGTGTCACCTTGTCCTGGCAAGCAGGTCTCCCTGGAGCTCTTCCAGCAAGTGCATATATCATTGAGGCTTTCAGGTATGGGACAATTCCTATGTTCTGCACTTGGTTTTTGTTCTTAGTTCCTAGATTGTAAAATCTCAACTGAGCTATTATGCTGTATTATGTGAAGGACATAGTCAATCAATGCATTTTAAGAATTTATCTTTTATATCTGACTTTAAATATACATTATCTATTTTTATCTCCATAGGAATATAGTCAGTGACATAACCATTTCGTTCAGTTCTTTGTACTAACTATTGTATGTATTTAAAATGAGAATTTGAGACTTAGAACTAAGAGGAAAATACTTATAATTCAGCACAGATACTTTTTAAACTTATGCAATGTTTACCAAAGGATGAGACTTTGGAATACTTGTTCCTAATAACATAAAGTAATTCCAATTATTTTATGTTATATATTTGAATACATCTATTGGATATTACTTCAAGAAGATGCAAAAATCACCATTAAGAAATTGATTCCATGTGTGTCTAGTTGCTGAAAGAAAAAGTATTTTTAGGTATCATTTTAAATAATTGTCATTAACTCAAAGATATAGATAATTAATTAGAAAATATCATTATAAAATTATTCTATAGCGATTTAAAAAATACTGACATGCGTGGGAAGATGGTCTTAATGTACTTTCATATTCAGTTTCATCAGTTTAATATTGCCTAGTTTGAAGGACAGCCACTGTCTTTTGTCAATATTAGGTCAAATGATCACTTTCACATTAATCTTCTCTAATCCACATTTAAAGTAATGATAGATACATAGTTTTCAAATTTCAAAATGGTCTTTTCTATAATTTTTATCCTTAATTCTTAAAGACATCTGAAAAATAGAGACAACCTAAAACATCACATTTTTCTCCTTATCTCAGAAAAAGTAGCATTTGACTTTAAACAAAGTGTTCTAATGTCATCCATCTGTCGCTGGCTGTGAAGAGGTCCACACACACAGATTCAGAGATATTTCACCATTCTGAGAAATCACAATACTGTGTAATGTACAATTTTATTGAAAATGTAACCAAGGGAAAATATTCATTACATGCTTCCTTTCTTCTTTTACAGGTATGTAGTTTTAGAAGGCTCTATTATAATTTTGCATGTGGAATTGATGCAAAAGAAAACACACCTTGTAACAGGAAAATGTATTGGCATAATTTACTCTGTAGTCCATTTATTCTTTCTGCAGGTTAATTCTTTTCAAGGTATATATATATATATATATGCATTTATGAGGACCATTCTTATTGTATAACCTTGATGTTTGTCACCTTGGCCTCTGTTCCTTTACAGGTATTCATTTAGTGGGCTGCTGTGCATTTAGCAAAGGGCTGTCACATCTTCTGGGCTGAGTTTAATTTTGTTGTGCATGGCACTTCTGTTAGGTGGGCTCGGCTTTGTTGTTGAATAAAACTGAAATCATCCAAATGTTTCATTTATTGGGCTGAACACTTCAAGTGTTGTGTGTGTGTGTGTGAGGGTGTGTTTAATTTTCAGCCATTAACCTTTGTCATTGATACCCAGTTCCATTTCCGATAGCTTTCTGACTGTTCTTTAATTTAAATTTCTGTTCATGTTGCAGCCAATCTGTGAGCAATAGTTGGCAGACGGTGGCAGACCATGTAAAGACCACCCTCTATACTGTGAGAGGATTGCGGCCCAATACCATCTACTTGTTCATGGTCAGAGCAATCAACTCCCAAGGTCTCAGTGACCCAAGCCCTATGTCAGATCCTGTGCGTACTCAAGGTAATTTCAAACGTGACTGCTTTTAGAAGGAAGCATCAGATAAACATTTTAGAATGTGGAGATTGCATGACTAAAAGATAATGTATGTTTGTTGCTCTTTATTTTTTAAAAATGTTTATTAGTATATATTTGCCATACATAATAAATATATTCAATGTGGGATATACATATATCACAACTTGATCTTTTTTTACTTCCCTTTCTCCCCCATATGATGCTTTCTGTAGTGATTGACTGGATTTCATCAAGTCAGGAGAAGCAAATTTGCTGTTTGCCTTCTTAAAATGTGTGCTTTTTATGGAGCTTTTAGAGTCTATAGAGTTAAGGCATAAACCAAGTAACTGGATTCATTTACAAAGTAAAAGTGAATCCACTAATTCAGGACTTTATTATACTTAAAAGAGAAAGAAAATATTTCTCTTTCTTCATATAAATTATACAACATCAAAGCAAAAAAAAAATTGAAATGAATAGATGCCCAGATAGGGGTATAAAATCACTCCCCTACTGTGCAAAAATTCCATTTTTATGGTATAGTGGCTCTCAAAATGTAGTTCCTGAATGGGCAAAATGGCATCCCCTGACCCTGGTAGAAACATAGATTTTTGAGGTTAGGATTCAGAGCTCAGAGGTTGACCCAGCATCACTAAACATGCCCTCCAGGTGATGCTGGTGCTGAACTTTAACAACCACCATACAGTGTGTTTTATTCAATCACATTGGAAGGAATAATTTATTTCAGAAAACAGTAAATCAAGTTTCCTTCCTGAGGCTTTCAATTCTTTTGATTAAAAAAAATCCCTTCTGAATATTAAAATATAATTTCAAAATAGAAGACTGCCCTCATGTTATCTTTAGTAACCTGTGTCTTTCAAACTGAGAAGTCATTGGAGTCTCAAGTATAGTGTAGAATGCTAGATTGTGGTTTCCTTTACTGCTAACATGTGAAGGGAATTAATATAATAGGAATATGCCTTTATTATTTGTTCCTATCTACTTCCTGCAGTGTTCTTGGGAAAGGGTTAATTATTTCTTATTTTATGTAAAGGGCTTTGAACAAGATATAATTCCAAGTTGTATTTTATGCTATGTAAAGCACCATACAGCCATAAAACATTATTATAATTACAATGTAGTTCAGTGATGGTAACTACCAAGCTATTATAACAGAGAAGGGACTCTTAAAGAAATCAAGTAAAATAAAGTCACCACGTGACTGTAACGTTGCTGACATGATGACAGTCGAGGGAGGAGGGAATGCCACTTTGCTATTGTTCTCTAAGCAGTAATGTGATTAATTTTCCATGATGATAAAGGGCCTGTAGGTAAAGAACCTGTCTCAGAGAAAGAAAAAACACAACAAAGAATTTGAAGACCTAAATCTAGTTATATTTTATTTTACCTAGATCCAATTGCTTTTAGTGCATCTGAATTTAATGAGTAAATTAAATAATTGAATGTGAAATGAAAGATGTGTACAATTTTAAGTCCAGAATTATATTGCCTAGTCAATGTCCACCTATGTGGATAGAAATAGTTTTTGTATGTCACTATAGTGTTAGGTAGGGAGATAACAGAATGGGGAAGACTTCTGGTGTGATTAAGTCTGACAGACTTGTCTGATCTTTCAATAACTATGCCAGTCACTACATCTTGACTCATAAAATAACTCTTGGGGAAAAGGTCAAAAAAAGATTAATGAAAAGTTGTTTGTGATCTGGCTTGTTCCAGTTGAGAGACTATACAGAGCAAAAGATTTATGTTCTCTTAACAGATATTTAATAGGAAAACTCACGTTTCATGTCTGAATGTCAGGATCATTTTTGATATCACACTTAACTTCGTGTCTTGCAAAACATTTCCTTTCTAAGAACACTTTGTTTCATGAGCTTTTATTTTTCAAAGTTACTAAGCACCACAGGATCTAGAAGTCTTTCGTTTCATTAAGACTCCTAACTATGTTTATAACATCAGCATCATAGTAAACCATACATAGATCAAAAAAGGTTAATATGCACATGAAGTGACTTTTCCCCCCAATTCAAATAAGACTTCACATTGCTGTTTACATTAACTAAAATAAAAGGGAAGGCCGGGAAGAAAGATCACTGATGTATGTTTCCCAATTATTAATGTCCAGTTTAACTTACTGCACCTAATTTATGTAATAGCTAAGATATACATTTAAAATACTTCTGCAGGAATTGTACATTGTGGTCTAAGAACATAGAGGAAAGGAGATTTAAAAATCATTTTAAATTGGACTTCCTTAAAATAGTTGGAGAAAAAATTCAATTTTTACAAGTTAATTTTACAAGTTAAATTTACAAGTTAATTTTACAAAAAGATCAATATAAATATATGTGAAATTCAGCATATGATATCAATTTGAAGGCCTGTACTATCATTTTCTTAGTGGACACAGAATATGTAAGACTGTATGAGGCAATAGAGTAGTATGTAGGTGATTGGTGAATAAAGACACATAACAGTAACATTTAGGTGATTGGTGACTAAGGAGACACAACAGTGTACAACTTAGTATAAATCTTTGGAAATACTTTCAGTCTTTCTTTCTTCCTTTCCTCCCCTTAACTTACTCGCCCCAAAAACCTGCATAACCCCTTTTCAGGTATTGCATTTTGTCCATAGTGTATTGCTTTGTAGCATTTTATGAGTATTTTAAATTTTTCAGCTACAAGTTTTTTTGCTCCAGTTCCTTTCCCTTCCATGCTTTCAGCCTGAAATAGGTCAAGCAACAGGAAAACACAACCTGTTAAATGGGACAAGGGACTCTGCAAATTCCGAAACTGCAGTGTATGTCTGCATTTACTTCTTGGAAAATCATTCAATGCACCAATATCAAAATTAAGCTAGTCTTTCTAGAGAAATCTTCTAGCACATACCACATACATATTTTTTTTCTGAGTGATCATGCTAATGATTTTGTAAACAACAACGTGTCTGTATTTGAATGGGGATGAGGGGTAATAATACAATACATGTATGTGCTTACATAGTTTTGACACACAAAGGTTTTATATTTTTCCTAGTTTTCAGTTCAAAATTCATACTGTTCATTTACATAAAATAAATTGAGGTTGTATTATAAATTTTTAAAAAATAGATGTGGTTATCTCATCTGACTGTAGATATCAGCCCACCAGCACAAGGAGTAGACCACAGACAAGTACAGAAAGAACTAGGAGACGTCCTCGTTCGTCTTCACACTCCAGTTGTACTGACTCCCACGACTATTCAGGTCACATGGACGGTAAGTTTTCAAAGATTATGCTAGGGTTTCTTATATGGTGACAAAGTTTATCTATCCCTTTAACAAAAACAAAACAGAAATGGAAAATGAAAATAGACAAACCAAAACTAGCAATTAAACCCCGCACTATTAAATATCAAGGTGTATTTGAGGACAGTAAAGGATAATATTCCATAGATAAAAGAATAAATAAAGGGGCCAGAATGTAGCTCTGTGGCACCATGCCTGCCTTGCAAGTGCAAGGCCATGAGTTCTGAGTAACTGAAAGAGTAAATAAGGATCAAAAAGTATAATAGATAATGTGAAATAGGAAGTAAAGTTGCAAAGGGGAAGGAGAAGGGGGAGTGTAGGGGAAAGGAAAGAGGGGAATGGAATAACTACGAGAAAAGGAAAAAAGAAATTATTGTAAATAGGGCTGGAGAGGTTGATAGAGGGTAGGAGAATAGAGAAAAAATAAGAATCAAGATAAATTATGTAAAGGTACAAATCTCCAATGATGAATGTCATTATATTGTATACCTAAAATGTATCAATAAAATTAATAAAAAGAATAGAATAATAGAGTAACATAAATTGTGATATAAAAATGACCTTTGCGTCTTCTGAATTTTCTAATAGCTTTATTGAGACATAGTTAACATACCACAGTTAAAGAACACAAAGGAATCTTTTTAATATACTCAAGCGATTTGAAATTATACCAAAATCTAATTTTAGACCATTTCAACATCCCAAAATGAAACCCTGTGTCCATTAGCAGTCATTCTCTTCTCACTTTTTTAGCTTAGTACACTCACTAATTTGCTCTGTATCTCAATAAATTTATTTATGCAAGACTTTTCATATCTATAGAGTCACATAATAATTCTTTGTATCTGACTGTTTTCACTCTACATAATGTTTTTGAGGTTTACTCATGTTGTGGCACAGGGCTTTACTTTGTTTGCTACAATGTACTATATTCCATTGTGGTATTTCATTACTCTCTGCTCAGTGTAGCAGTCACAAACAGTACTCCATTTTATGGATATGTCATATCTTTTGTTTCCTTTTCACTTGAAGGATCTTGGCATTGTTTCAATTTTTGGATACTGTGTAGACTGCTGACAATTGGTGCACAATTTGTTCTGTGGACATGCATTTCTGTTTCCTTTTGTATACAACTAAAGATAGTCAAATAATATAGTAACCCTTATTTAATATTTTCATGAACTGCCAAAATGTTTTCAAGTGATTGAATCATTTTGTCATCCAAACAGCAATATTTGAACTTTACAGTTTCTTCTAAATCATCTCAATTGTCCTTTCAGTCTCATCAAATGCTTATTCTGGTTTTGGTTGTAGCAATTCTAGTGTGCAGTGGTGTATCATTGTGATTTTGCCTTGCATCTGTTTAATAAATAATGATGTTTGTCTTTTTATATGCTTATTAAGCATTTTGTATCTTTTTCACAGAAATTATTATTCAAATTACTTGTCCATTTTCAAGTTATTTATTTGTCATCTTATTATAGACTTGTGAGGATTCTTAATGTTCTGGATATGTCATCTGTCAGAGAAATGATTTACAAATATTTCCAGTTTGATAGGGTTTTTTTGATGGTTTCATTTGAAACACAAAGGATTTTAATTTTGTTGAAGTTATCTTCTAAATTTAAATGAATCATCTTTACACTCTTTTAACTCTCTTAGAACAGACCCAACTCCGTTACACAATTTTAATAATTTGATATACATAGTCAAAAGTTAGTGGACATTAAGAAAGTTCATATTATGTATTATTGTGTCAGAATACAATGGCAAAATGTTTTTATCAGATGACAACTACTATAGGAAAACAATGAATAGCATGGAAGTAACAATATTATTTATAGCAGAGAATACTGATATTTGTGCATGTGTGTGTGCACGTGCGGTGACACCTATGTGTGCTTGTATTGTGACAGGAGCCAGTTAATGTTTTTCTTTGGGTAATACAAATAGCACCAACTTCTCATTTATGATCAGCTCTCTTCATTATAATTCCTTAAAATGAGTAAGGAAATATATTAGTATGATACAAATTTACAACTGCTTGAAGCCTTCTGTGTATGTAGAAGAATACATAGAAGTAGTGGATTTTTGGAAAGGCATAAGTGGAAGAACTTTCACTTTAATTATAATGTTTATATGGAAAGTATATATAATTATGTTTGTCTTGTTTGTTTGGGTAGTCATTTACTAAAAATAAGACTAAGATTCTGATGATGATTTGAGAATACAATGTTTCTAATGTCATTTTTAATAAAATTTTTCATAGCCTTAATCTATATTTTACATATGATTTCTATCCTTTGGTTCCTATGAAGAGAATAATTCTCTTATCATTATTCCAGTGCCATAGTAAGAATTGTATCTGCCGTGCTTCTTTTTCTCAGTACCTTCTACTAGATTAAAAAAAGAAAAAAAAAACTACCCAAAACACGGAAATAATTGTGTTTTTCATAGCAAATTTTTCTTTCTCATTCTAAATTGAAAACATCTTCTTTGCTATTGAAAGTTTTTAAGCTGCTTCTAAATGAGGGAAATATTTGGGTAAGAATCCCAGTAATTATGTTTATGATGTTAATCACTTTAAGTTTCACTAAGTTTACAAGAGTATGTCAGGTTAGATCACAATGGCAAGACAGTTGACTATTTTTCCAGGAAAAAGGGAGAGAGCATGCCATACATATTTCTTTCTGAGTCCATAGATAACTTGTCACTACTAGTGTGCATATCTATCTCCCTCGGAGGCAGTGACTTCTGTGAATCTAGAGAGGATGTGTGTTTTTCCAGAGCAGAGTGTCCAGTATGAAATACTCTTTAAGTAATTGTCTAAGGAAATGATCATATCAGCTGTTTTATATGCTTTCATTTTTATTTCAAAAGCAGAAGGGATTCAATTGCTATCACAGGGTGTTGTTCCTTATCCCTTCTTAATTACATGAGACAAGATTATCAGGGAAAGGTTAGGCTTAAAGTAATCAAGTCATGTTGGGTATGGGGCCAGTTGCCAAAGAAATTGTATTTCATTTTCATATAATGTTTTCAATTTGCTAAATTTATATGTTGTTTAAATTATGAAATTACTAGTATATAAATTCCAGATCTGTTGGGGTTTGAGAGAAGGAATGTATGCTCCAGCCCAAATGTCTGGGTTTGAGTTCAGCATAGGTGGTTCACCAAAGGTCTGCAGGATTCAAATACCAAAAGCACGTGACATTCAAACTGGAAAATCAGCCACCCCTCCAAGGCTAAAAGTAAAGCAATAATATTAGCAGTGGCTTCCTTTGAAAACGTGAATGCTACTATAAAGGCTAGACGAAAATGATAAAAAACAGTTGTCCCACAAAAGAAAACAGCAGTAAGTCACTGTGAAAAATGATTTTGTGGATATTTTTACTTGTTTTTATTTTTTGTTCAAAGGCACAAAGAATCATAGATTCTTAATGTCACTGGGATTGAAAAGATGCTTTTTAAATAACTTAGCAGCTAAACCCACCGAAGAAAATTCACTAAGAATTTTCTGTTTAGATGAAGTTTCTTGGTTTTTGTCCTATTTTATAAATTGAAAAGACAGCTATTGAGCATTCCACTTAAAATTTTTGGTAAAAATGCTAATTTGAAGCTCACATATGGGTCCTGTCCTTTTTTTGTATGTCCCTTCTTTAACAAAGAGAAGTTTTATCACTGCATATTTCTACAATTTTCAAAGTGCTTTCACCTAAATTAATCATTTGATTATTTCTGTACCCTTGAGATGTAGACATTATCTGAAAAAAATTAAGTATCCTGAGGCTCAGAAAGTTCAAGAGACTAAGCTGCAATTTAAATGGAACCCTTATGACTAGAAGTATGAAGTTTTCTTTATTATTACACGTTTTCCTTTGGAAAATTCTTTTCCATTCATGTATCAAAAAATGTTAATTTTAAAAAGTTGTATAAACCCATGAATTTATGGCCAGACTCTAATTGTAATCAACTCCAAAGAACATTTTCCTTATAATCAAATTATTAATGAAACTAGTAAGAAGCACATGGTTTGACTGGAAAGTTGTTGCCAGTGAAAATGACCTCCCACAGTTAGTGGTATAAAACATATATCCAAAAAACGTCTGCGTACTTTTAATGTACTGTTCGGCATTTTCATTTTTGCTTCCATGTGTGACAACAAATTTCCTCTTCCCCCAAATGCCAGAGTGCACAAAATTAAGTCTAACTATTTCCTTATTAAGTAGGCCGTTAAGATATACTAGTTGAAGGCGGTGCTCATTGGAGTGAACAAGGCAATGTTGTGCAGTAAACATTAGCTTCATAAAGTCCCTAAAACACTTAATTAATGAAAACCAAACATGGATAAAACCAATTTACCCTGATTTACAGACTCCCTTCATCTGGAAACAGCTGTTTAATGTTCTTCTTAAAAATACAGCTTGCTTCTTTCAGTATTAACAAGCTATTATTGTGAGTTATGTCTTTCTTTCAGTATATAAATTCACTTAAAGCAAATGCAGAGAAGTTTATAAAATGTAAGCTTAATGTTGTTTTAGCATATGTTGCAAGAATTTTTTTGAACTTTGACAGTTTTGATGAAAGGCATCTTCTTTTGGCTCTCATAAATTTTACTTTTTGCTGCTTGGATGTCTTATTTTATAATGTTAAAACAACTGCTTTAAAAAAATTATGTCAGTTGGTACCAACATTGCAGAATGGATGAGAACTGAAAGACTATGAGCTTCTGTATTAGACCCAAAAGTGTTTTTTCTTAATATATCTTCATACAAATTCTAATTTCTGAAAATCTCTGGTTAGAAAGCTGTCAGATGGAGAAAGGAATCCCTTTGTTGACACTCATTCGAAAGGTCGGAATTAGGTACATATAGAAAAAACACACACTCATATCCATCAACTTCATAAAGCTTTCTACCTTGGACATTCTAAATGTAGAAAAAATTTCTTTCATTCCACCTTATTTTGATTGAAGTTCTACATTCTAACCTAGTAAAACAAATATTTTAATGTGATAGTCATCGATTTGCTGCCCTTACAAAATTAATAAAACAATGCTGCAACTAGAAAAGAAATGTTAGAAATGAATCTATCAATGAATAGCATTTATTTACAGCATACTGACAGTTGATGAAGAAGTTTTTAAAAGCTGAAATAAATATCTGCATCATTACCTTTCCTATTTCTTTTTCCCCCAGAACTTTCTTAAAATTAGATAATTTTTTTATTTTATTAATCTTCACATTTTATTTGAAAGTGAAATATGTCAAGTTTAAAGTTTCTTGGATCATTGCTATTAAACTCTGACATGGGATGTTAATCAGAAAAAGTGCAGTGATAATTTATGTTTAAGCCAAACATTTCTAGGAACAAGGAAAGGCATTTAAAAACTATAAATTAAAAAAACTAAAAATCTTTTTCTTCTTGAAACTGAAACAATTGTAAAATTCCTATAGGATTATATAGTAAATGTAGAAAGAGAACCTGTTTCATTTTTTTATCTTATTTTTATATGTATTTAATTTTCATGTCCTTATCATAAGTTTAACCAAAACACTTGTAAAAAGATCTGTTCAATATGAATTTCAATTCAAAATCTCACAATGTGACTTAAGCTGCTGTCAAATAAATGAAGAGATAAGAATGTTGACATGTCAAGAGTAGAACTCTTGCTGGGTAACCACTTGTAATTCCAGCAATCAGGAGGCTGAGGCAGGAGGATTTTCAGGAGTTCAAGTCTAGCCTGAACTGCATAGTGAATTCAAAGCTAGCCTGAACTCTTGAAAGCATAAAAAAATTATTTTAATTTAATATTTGGTGATGAGTATAAACTTTCACATGCATTTGAAACAGATATTCTAAATTCCTACTGTTAATCTGACTCTCTCTCTCTCTCTCTCTCTTTCTCTCTCTCGCTCTCTCTCATCTCTCATGCTTCTTTGAGCCACAGGGAGTTTTTACACTCTATGCCCACGCTCCTTTCTCTGGTAAATCAGGCTCTGTCTGCAGATGGCAGAGTTCATGCTGTCTTCTGGGAAATCATCTCCCCATCCTGATTCGGTCATCTTTTTCTCCATTATAAATTTCATGATTTCTGGTGCATCTCATTCATAAAGTTGGCATTTGCTTATTTTTTATGATTGCGACTTGACCATGGTTTGAGTGATTATAAGATGATGGCAACTTTTTCCTGGGACACTAAGCACCACAAGGACAGAAACTGACTCTCTCATTACCCTCTGTTTTATCTTCAGAGCTCAGCAGATTTCTAGGTCTCTGATAATAGGAACTCAAAAAAATATGTTTTGAGTGGGTGAAAGTGTTAGTGAAGGAATAAGCGATGATTGTTGAAATCTCTGTAAGTGGCACATTACATGTAAAACTACAAAAAAAGAGAGATTTGTTCACAGTAAGAAAAGGCCAAGCAAATGAGAAATTAAGCTAAAAATAATTGACAGGTCTGGCCATTGACAGGACACTGTGCAAATCCAAGGAATCTGGATTAATTCTGTAAATATCACAGATATTGTGAGGCACTTAAAATGGTGGAGAGAGTTGTTTCATTCTTTACTTTAGAATCAACATAGGAGCAATGTGACTCTTGGATTGTAGAGATTATTAGAAGCAGGGAGATGAATAAAAAAGCATAGGGTCACTCCCAGGAGAGTCACAAGGGCTGAAATGGGCCAAGGGAAGAGGAGATGGACCTGTGGCAGTGTCTGACATACTTCCCTGTAGTTTCAGATGCCCTTTGCTCTGCTCCAGGTGGATCGCCAGCCCCAGTTTATTCAAGGCTACAGAGTAATGTATCGTCAGACTTCGGGACTGCAAGCTACATCCTCATGGCAGAATTTGGACGCCAAAGTCCCAACCGAGCGAAGTGCTGTTTTAGCCAATCTGAAAAAGGGGGTGACTTACGAAATTAAAGTTCGACCCTATTTTAATGAGTTCCAAGGAATGGATAGTGAATCGAAAACAGTCCGTACTACTGAAGAAGGTCAGTATCCAGAATTCTGTTGTGAACCAAACTCACATCATGATTAAACCAGTTTCTGTTATAGTTCTAGCTTGTCATCTTCCTTGTAAGACTAGAAGGAGAGCATTTAAAAGTGAACGCAGGAAGTGTCATTTTGCCCTTATATTTTGAGTATTCTATAGAATCTGATTCACACCCCCCCCCCGAAAATGACTAAAAAAGGCGAAGAAAATGACTCTGAGTTTGAATTTTTTACATATTTGCCCCAAATCTTGTGTTTAAGTAAGCTTGTGTTTGATTATAATATATTCCTGTGTTTTTATGTAGATTTAGCTCATTTGGCTTCAGTAACGGACAGGCTGTAGAAAACTCAAGAATGTGAGTCATTCACAGGATGGTTCTTTTCTTGTTATAGTAAGGTGTGACATTTTCTTTTTCAACCTTTTTTTCACACAGACATTGCCTTTCTGGCCCAGGCACATAGTTCTCTTATTGTAGAGTTTCTTCACTCTCCCTCTTGTTTGGAACTTTTTAAAGTCAGTCTCTGATGGACTAAGATTAATATTGTTTTCAAGCAGGGCATTTTTCTAGTGTCTTCTTTACTGAATGAGAGCCTTATAATATCACCAAAGTATAAAAGTGAGATGGTGCTGGTTGTGGGGATGCACACCTGTAATCCCAGCACTCTGGGAAGCTGAAGCAGGAGGATCACAACTTAGTGCCTTAGTGAGACCCTGTCTCAAAATTTAAAAATAAATAAAAAAGAGTTTTCTATGTAGCTCATTGTGAAGGTCTTGTGTTCAATTCTCAGTAACACACAAAAAGGTGAGATAACAAAGAAAACCATCCCTCATTCCACTTTGTACTAATTTTGTGTGTATACTTTGTATACAAAGCCTTTTCTTAGGTGTGTCCTACCCATAGGCCAAAGGATGGACAGGCATATATTTTGCACAAAATTATTTAAGATCATTGTTAAGAAAATGCATATAGTTTACACATGCTAACATGTAGATATTCACATTTAACCAAGTTTTAAATTTTACATTTCATTAAATATGACACACAAAAAAACATTGTCTTCACATTGCTTTATAGTATGTTCTAATGACAGGGATAGGAGTGCATATTTTTGACTGTGTCATTAGATTACATGAGGATATGTAAAGTACAGAAAAAATTAGTAAAAAAGTATTAATAATATTTTTATCCACAATTAAATTTTACCCTATGTTGCAAATTGGTACTGCTAGTGAGTGGAAGGATAACTTTAATACAGAAGGTACATTTGAAGCCTTTTTCCAAAAATCAATTTCACTGCAGTCAGACTTTTCCTCTGGATTCGACATTTGTCACCATTCAGTATACATTCATCTCTGGTTTCTGTGGCCTTGCAAAGTTAACAAATGGAACTCAGCTGGGCTATGTCTGGAAACGAGGAGCAGTGATTTGGGTTCTTTCACATGTGTAGGAAGAAGCTGAGTGCTGAAATAATTGACCTGTCAAGAAGCAGCCACTGTGCTCTCGCAAGCCCTCAGCAATGAGAATGAAAAGCCAGTTTCAAAAGTGTTATTTTTTAGTGCCGTCTACTTCATAACTACAAGGCAGGTAGACAAGTAGTCAGATTTATGTCATCATGCCATATTTTGGAGCAATATTGTCACATAGAAGAATAGTAAAGAATAAAACGTATCAGCCTGTATCTGGGTAGATTCTGTATTGCAAGGCAAATATGATCATATCTTAACAAAATATATCATGGCAAGCTTATGAACATGGGAGACCTTATAAAAGGCCATTAAAGTATACTGTAGAATATCTGGAATATTTTCAAGGGACTAAACTATGCAGACCTTGAAAGCATTGATGGTTTTACATAAAAATATTTTAATGACACAAAATTGTTTCAGTGCTTTAACTCACAAGAATTTTATACAGTATTCTGATTTTACTCTCACTGATTTAAATTCAGAGGCTGATTGAAAATAGATGATTTTTTCAAGCATTAGTATTTCTTAGCTGTTAGAGGGCTGGATGGAAGATGCTGCAGTCTAAAATCAGGAATTGCTTCTCACTCATCTTGTCTTGGTATGGCTGTAATTAGTTATAGGAGAAACTATAAAAGCAGGAAATTACTGTGGGAGATCAAAATCTGCCCATTTCACATTTGACCCAACATGAACCTGTTTTCATTTTTATCATCAGACTCTCTTGCCCATCCATCTAAAATAATTTTTAAATCTTAAATTATGGGTCAGTTTATAACAATCAATTATTTTCCTATATGAAAAGGATTGTTTTTCTTTGTTGGCAAATTTATAGCTGTGTTTCTGTTTTCATTTAGTAAACACAAAACAATACAAAAATAGATCATCAATAATGCCACCATTCAGAAATAGCACCTGATAAAATTGGGGCATATATTCTGTCAGAATATTTTTGGTTGGAAACAGTGTTTTGTTGTTATTATTGTTTTGTTTTTTAGAAATAGCCCATTAGTGTTTATAAATAATTAAGATTCAAGAATCAGACATACATGGGTTCAAATCTGACTTGGTATTATATTTAGATAAGTTTTTTGCTGTAGCCTGTTTTCTCATCTGTAAAACTGAGATAAGACTTGTTTTTATCTCCAGAGGATATTATGAGAATTAAAACTGACACTTAGCTCTGTACTGGCCATATTAAAAATACTCATTAGAATGTTACCTATTAAATTTATTACTGAATGTATATTACCACACATGTTACATTTAGTTTTCAATATGCTTTGAATTTAAAGGCTATCTTTCCAAAAACTGTCACTGTTTAACACCATCATCTAACAGACGCCACTAGTCAGAACTTCTAGAAGCCAGAACCTCATACATCTTGTATTTATATTCATATTCTGTAAGCAGCATAATGCACAGGGAGCCTTACTGTTTATGTTTATTCTAATTATTTCCTCTGCAGCCCCAAGTGCTCCACCACAATCTGTTACTGTGCTAACAGTCGGAAGCCACAATAGCACAAGTATTAGTGTTTCCTGGGATCCTCCTCCACCAGACCACCAGAATGGAATTATCCAAGAATATAAGGTAGGACCTGATGAAGAAGAAGGAAGGCTCACAGACAAAGTTGCCCGGATATAACCACAGCTTCTCTCTAAAGATTCTCTTAATTAGTTTAAATGTAAAGTGACTCTATGTTTGTATAACAAGCAAGGAAATAAATGTACAGGGAGGTAGACACAAAACTCAGTTGGACAATTAAACCATAATGTTAAATGATTTTTCTGTAGAGCATGTGTCAGAAACCTCAAGGATTTAGAGAGGTGAGAATTGAGGTAGATAGGTTGTGAATCTCTCATTGAGAAACTGACTTTATCTTTATTATTAGAATTCTGGTAAGAGACTTTAGAGCAGCCATTTTTAAAGTGGGTTGTCACAAAAACAAACAAAACTTTCAGTTTTAGAGAGGCAAGAGTGTTGTAGAAATAAGAGGTACTAGTGGAAACTCCCAATCTTTATGCTGCTTTTATCTATTTATTGGGACTTTGTAAAATTATTTCCCTTAGGGGAAAAGGTATACATTGAAACAGCAATATTTGAAAAAATTTTAACAAAAACATTATTGTCTCATTTTCAACTGGTGAATTTGTTGTTGTTTAGAAACAGCATACATCTATCATTTCATCACCATCAATAATGTATAAGACACAGGATATATCTTACTTTTCAAAGTAAGATTTTGCTTAACTGTGATGTGGTTAGATTAATCCTTCCACTAAACTTTGAATAATATAAAAACTGTGATTTTTGCTTTTAAGAAATATTTGTAGAATTCTGAAAATAACTTACTAGATAGATCTAACACAACAGAGAAGTAGATGCCCCACCTTACCTTAGAAATCCACAGGTATCTGATAATTGGTATGCGAAATTAAGTTGAATAATTTCACTTAAATTTGAAGGTTGAACTTTATTTCTGAAAAAGTACATTTTAAATAGATTTTATTAATTTATAAGTCAAATTGCTGAAGCAGATGGATGGACTCAGTGTATAAATGTTTATTTTGAAATTATTCCATCACATCATAAATAGACATGGTATATTAGTCAGCTTACTTAATGCTGGAAAAAATACCTGACACTTGTAACTTAAAGGAGGAGGGGTTTAATCTGGCTTACAATTTAAAGGGATTCAGTCCATGGTTGGCTGGCCCCAACGCAGGAATATCATGATGGCACTGTATGGTGGAACTAACCTGCTTAGTTCATGGCAGCGAGAAGTCAGAGCAAGGAAACCACACTAAAGAGAAAGGAGCCTGGAAACATAAAGAGTACCCAAGGTGGTGCCTTAACAACCCACTCAGACTCAGAAGTGTGTTTTACTAATCATCTAGTTGGTTTCCAAACCAATCAAGTTGATGATTAAATTAATCTTAATTGTCACACGGTTAAGAAGTATAAGAATAAATGCCTTTATGATAGCATAGTTATATAGATCAGAAAGTTTTACAAATGTTACAACATTGTTTGAACACTTATGTGGCATATTTTAATGAGGTTAGGAATCTACATTTTACCACCTCAGACTAAATATCCTAAACTTCCATTTAAGTAAATGTTGATATTATTTTCTTACATGATTAAAATTTATAAATTATAAAATTTCTCACTCATCATAAGCCTGTCAAAGTAAGCAAACAAACACTTTGTAAGCAAAGTGTATGTTTAGGTGAGCATTAAATATTTCCGCATTCAGAACAAAGATATCGACTGTAAATAAAAGAAATGTGATTATCAGAAATTACTTTGCTGGAAGAGTTTCAGGAAATTATCTGCTTTGGAAGAAAACTTTATATGTTCCTACACATATGTCTCCCTGTAGATAATAAATGATATAATATGAATACAAATGTACACAGTGGAATTATTTTTATACTCATTTTACCGGAAATAGATTTCCATATCCCTGAAGAAAATATGCCCTAAGATTTGATTTTTACTTAGAATGAGACCCTAGCTGCTTTAACACCAGTGCCTAAAAACTTTCCTTCACTTTGTTCTCCTGTGTACCTGTTTCCTTGTGTGTAGATATGTTTTGATCAATATTAAGATTTACTAGTGTAAATAAAATTATTGGGTTTAATTTTAACTTAGTCAATACCTATAACTTAGGTCAATGAATCTTGTTAACTCCTCCTTTATAAGTTTATATTTTCTTAAATGATATATATATATATTACTCAGATCTGCACATACTTAGATATTATAATTCATAATTATCATACTTACAATAGATCACATCCACAATAAATTTGGATAAATAAAGCAGAGAAATGTATATGTTTTAATCCAAACCAAAAAGCTATTTGCAACCAGAGGCCATTTTCATAGTTTCTTAAGGAATCATTGTGCATTTTAAGTTGTTCATTGTATTCAGTGCTGATAGATATAAGTGGACATGACATAATTTTACCTTCTCTTAGTGTTCTTTATTTAACACACACATATATGAGTTTTAGGCTTTAGCAAATGCCATTTACAAACACTACCCTAAGCCCAGAAGATAAATTGGATACTAAATATATTTAATCAATTGAGTCTAATCCCCAGAAAGGATATTTTATATTTATTTGTTTTCATTTTCCATTTCTGTAGATCTGGTGTCTGGGAAATGAAACTCGATTCCATATCAACAAAACTGTGGATGCAGCCATTCGATCTGTAATAATTGGTGGATTATTCCCAGGGATTCAATACCGGGTAGAGGTTGCAGCTAGTACCAGTGCAGGGGTTGGAGTAAAAAGTGACCCACAGCCAATAATAATTGGTGAGTATCAATCTATATGATCAGTACTTTGGTATCAGTAAATTGATACCAGGGTAGATTTTTTAAAAATCTACATGTTAACCATGGATATGGAGTGATAGGGGAGCACACATCACAAACAAGTTAATTGACTAGGATTTCTTATAAAAATGATTGGTACAATTGCTTGTGTTCTTAAAAGTCCCCTGAATCTTACAACTGCATTCACTGAGTTTAAATGCTGAAAGTTAGTTTAAAAAGTGTTTTTAATCTATACTTCTATTAGTAATTTTGGCATCATTCAAAAATAGAAAATGAACTAAAGAGAATACATTAAATCTAAATCTATATACTTCCTCTTATTCTGAAAAATGTCAAAAATCAACTAGCAACAAGCAAAAAAATGCTTTGTATTTCAAGTACAGTATCCCAAAGAAGAAATTTATATTAAATCTACCATCATTGCATAAAATTGTTCCCTATTACCGTAGATTATGTTTGTCTGTTCTTGAAATGTATAAAGTGGAATTGTATAGAATATGATATTTTGTGTCTGGTTTCTTTCAGTAAGTTTAATTTTTTTGAGATTCACCCATGAATGTATTATGCAGTTCATATGTTTTATTGCTGAGTGGTATTCAATTCTATGAATATGCCATGGTTTATTTGCTATTCTAGTTAGAGTGAACATTCCTGTGGAAGTATTTTTGAAGAGATGTCTTCATTGAGGGAAATACATTAGAGTAGAATTTCTGGGTAAGAGGGTAGTATAGTTTAACTTTATTAAAAAACTGCTGAACAATTTTCAAATTGTTGTAAAATTTTATACCTGCAACAGAAAGCAAAAGGACTTCCAGTTTCTCTACATTATAAAAAACTTTTTCCATAGCTAGTCTTTGTGATTTTAGCAATTCTAGTAGATCTAAAAAGTAAGTAATTCCTTGTGAATTTAAGTTAATGATGTTGCACAACTTCACATGTGCTTATTGGCTACTCATGAATTTTCTTTTGTAAACTGCTCACATCTTTGCCTTTTTAATATTGAGTTGCATATACATTCTGTATACAAATTCTTTGATAGATACTATTTACTCCTAGTATATGGTTTCCTTATGCATTTTCTTATTAGTGTCTTTTGATGATCAGCATGATTTATTATTTTTTTTCATACTTATTGCTTTATTGTCTGCCAGTAGATAGTGAGGACATGTTCCTATATTTTCTTCTAGAAGCTTTATAATTTTAGCTTTTATAATTAAGTGTATAATTTATTTTAAAATAACTACATATGGTTCAAGCATTGAGGCTTGTGCTTTTCCATATGTATATTGAGTTATAAAGTCACAATTTATTGAAACACTTTTCCTTTGGTTAACCATATATAAATAGATCCATTTCTGAATTCCCTATGTTTATATTTATTTATAAGCCAAACCACATGGTCTTGATTATTGTAGCTTATGATAACTCTTGAAATCAGGTAATGTGAATACTCCATCATTTTCTTCTGCAAAATTGTTTTGACTAATACAGACCTTCTGCCTTTCCATATATAGTGCTTTTAAAATCAGTTTGTCAATTTCTATGAAAATATAGTGAAAATGTAATTGAAAATGCAATGGATCTACCTATTAAATTGGGTAAACATTTTAATAGAGAGCCTTTCTATCTAGCAACATGATATACCTTTTCATTATAGAAATCTTATTTACTATTTTACAGTAGTATTTTGAAGTTTTCAGTGTTTGAACTTATGCATGTTTTCTTAAATATTTCCCAAATATTTGGTGTTTTTTGTACTGTGATAAATGAACTTTTCAATTTGCCTTTCCAACTGTTTTTTATTACATAAGTTTAATATTTTATATCTTGTGAATTTACAACTTCTCTTACTCATTTTATAGTTGCAAAATTATTTTTCTGAGCAAATTCAGATCATTGTGTTCTTTCTCTTTTTTTTTAAGTTGACACAGTGAATTGTATTGAATGGTTTACAAAAGTAAATCAACTTTGGATTCCTAGGATAAATCCTACTTGAACATGATTTATTATCTTTTTTACAGATGTTGATCTACCTGATTTACTAACATTTGGTAAAGAATTTTACATTTATGCTCATAAAGGACATTGGTTGGTAGTGTTTTGGTTTGTTTGTTTACTTTTGTTTTTCCTTCTAGTGTCTTTGTCAGATTTTAGGTTCAGAGTGGATGGCTTTATAAGGTCAAGCTGAATAGTCCTTCTCTTTATATAGTTTAAGAATATTTAGGAAGAATTTTTTTATTTCCTAGAAATAAGTACTGATATCTATGCCTAGAACTTTTGAATATGTGTATTTTTAATGAATATGGATCTGTTTAGAATTTTAAAATTTCTTCTATTGGTTATGGTAAGTGGATTTTTATATGTTGTTCACTGATAAATTTGTCTAGTTGACCTACATTATTTACTTTATTAGCATGTGGCTGTTTATAGTATTCCCTTATGATCATTATAATTCCTGCAGAATGTATAATAATTTCATCTGTTTTAATTGTAAATACTGGGAATTTAAGCACTCTTCTCCTCCCTCTTTTTCTGGCTCTCCTCCTTGTTGTGCTCTCTCTCGCTCTCTCTCTTTCTCTCTCTCTCTCCCCTTCTACCCTCCTATTTTATTCTGTCTTATAATGACATCAATTTTTAAAATCCTTTTAATGTATATGATACCATCTTTGTTTTATTTTAACTATTTGATTTTTATTGCTTCTTCTATTTACTTTTATTTGTTACTTAATATCAAATTTAAATCAGTGATTTGGGGCCTTTCTTTATTTCTTACATGCATATTTTAAAGTTGTTAACTTGTCTTAAAGAATTTCTTGTCCGGGGATTTAGCTCAGTGGTTTCGCCACCAGAATTTCTTCAGCTGAATCCTAAAATTTTTATGTTTTTTTGTCACTTAGTTTGGAGTACCTTCTTTAAGAATTTCTGTTACTTTTGTGGTTTTGTATTTTTTGCTATTTTCAAAATCTTTGATAGAGGTTTTTAAAAATGTATTGGTTAATATCCAAATGTTTGGAGATTTTTCAGATATCCTTTTTACTGATTTCTAATGTAATACGAGTGAAGAGATAAAATGTGCTTTGTGTGAATTTTGTCATTTAAATACAGAGTCATTTTATGGCTCAATATTTGGTCTTAGTGAGTGGTTTTTGTGTACTTGTAAATTGTATATATCCTTTTGTTTCATAAATGTCAAGTAAAATTAGTTGGTAATATTATTCAGGTCCCTATTGAATTTCTGTTGTTTTTTCTTTGAAATACTAGAAATGAATCTGGAGACCTATTACAATTATGGATTTGTATATTTCTACTTCCCATCTCTAACATTTGCTATATTTGTTTTACTAACTTGTTTTAAATGAATACAGTTTAAGAATATTACATCTTCTTAATGAACTTACCCTTCATCATTATAAGAATTCATTTTACTGTAAGATTCCTTGTCCTGAAATTGATGCCAGTATTAATATAGACTTACCATCTTATAAATATACACATGGTATATTTTTAATCCAACTTTTGTGTTAACCACTGTTTCTCTATATATAATATGCCTTTCAATTATTTAAGTTGCATATTTTCTGGTCTTGATTATTATGCAATTTGACAATATTGCCTTTTAATTGCAGCATTTAGATTGTTATCATTAATGTTATTACTGGTGTGTTTGGGCTTAGAATCACCATGTTCTTATTTACTTTTTCATTTTAGTTCTATTTTCTTAATGTCTTCCTTTTTGTGAGAATATGCACTAAGTAACTTTGAGTTTTACATTTTACCTTCACTGATGATTACTAGGTACATCTCCTTTTTTCATAATGATTACTCTAGAATTTGTGTGAAGGGATGTTAGAGCAAAAATTCCATGTCTTTCCTCTCTTTCTGTTTTGGTAGTTATACCTTTTACTTCTACATATGCCAATATAGAATTTGCTTTGAAGAGTCAATTATCTTTCAAATAAACTTAAAATAATAAAAAATATTTCATTGCATTTATCTGATATTGAATCCTTCGCCCTTCCTGAGTGCATCATTCTCTTTAATTCATAGGTGTTCTTCAGTCATATTTAAGTTGCCTTCACTACATCCCATTTTGATAATATTCTCGAAGTATAAGGCTATGAAAATAGCAAAGTTCCCATGTTTGATTCCTTTCTCTCAAGGATCACAATTTCGCCTTTATTTTCCTTACATATTTTGCCTTGGGTATTAATTCTTTGTGATAGGAGTATAATACATCTTATGCCTGTTATTTCTTCATAGCCAGAAATAGAACTACCCAAGTAGTTGTTCATTTAATTATTGTATTTTTCTGTTCTATAATTTCCACTTGTTTTCCTTTATATTTTCATTTCTCAGTGGTATTTTCAATAGTTTCATTCATTACAACTGTGTATGAAGTCTATAATTATATTGTGACAGTGCTTTACAATCATTTTCTTCTAATTTAATGCCTTATATTATGGTCTATTTCTATTTATCATTTTTTCTGTTGACCTTGGGTCATATTTTCTAGTTTGTTGTTTGTTTATGTGTGCATGTCTAGTGATGTTTTATTGTGTACTGGGCATTGCTAATGACATACTATAAAATTGTTTGATCTGCCCAATAATATTGATTTCAGTACTAATAGACAGTTGCATTACTGACTGATTACCTTGAACTTATCATGTCTTGGTTTTTACATTATATCTATGTTTTCCCCTTATTCGGAGGGAAAGTCTTGATTTTAACATGAACTTCAAATGTGTAGTTCTCCTGAAGTTTTCATAAAAACTAGTATGTTTATCTGACTCCTCTCACTAGATGAAATACTACAAACTTCAAACGCTGGGTTCTTTGCTGTGGATATTAGCTGAAACATGTTTAATCCTTTAGCATTCTAACTTTGCTTTTCACCTGATTCTTGCAATCTTCTTCCTGAATGCAAGTTCAGGGATTACCCTAGCATCTAAGCTATGACTATTTGCAAATTTGGTAACGTAGCTCTTCACCAGCCCTGTGTTGTACGTAGGTTTTCCTTCAATTCTCAGTCACTCTTGCAGGCCCGCACTCTATCCCCTGATATAGTATATCAACAAGACTGAGGCTTTCCAGGTTTGGCAGCTTCCCTTCACTCATGGATTAAAGATCTCTCTGAAGGACTCAGACCTGCAGATTTCCTCTAGCAGATCTCTTCTTTCAAGAGGAAATTCCCTTTGTATTTTTCCTGTGCTTACTTGCTTGGTAGTGCCTTAAATTAAAAACAAACAAACAAACTAACTAACTAACTAACTAAAGAAATATTCTTCCCAGAGATAAAATATTTTTAAATTATTTGTCCAGAATTCATACAAGCCATTCTTGTTTTCCTGTTTGTTTTCTGAAATGATGCATAGAGAATATATTGCCAATTACTTAGTAATTAATTTTATCACAAAGGATTTGTTACAGTTAGATTTACATCAAGTCACAATGATAAAATCTTTTAGATCCCCCACATTTTTTTTGTTTTTTTGTGTTAAAAACATTGAAGATAAAAAGTTAAAGTCTTACCTTTTCTTTAAATTGCCTTTTCTTTCTTAATTAGTTGATCAGACTGAATTAATTCCTTAACCTGAGGGAAACCTACAATCTTGCCCTTCTGAGATTTTCTAAAATAAATTGGAATAAGAAAGAAATGTAGGTACACTCAAAAGGTTTTAACTGATATATATACATATATATATATATATATCTTACAGTATTTAGAAATAATAAATTAACTTTTCACTAAAATAACTATATAAAACATGCTTAAAGTAAGTCAGTTTTTGTGGGATGATCTATGTAAGTACACTTTGTTTTTTATTGTTTTATATATATATATAAAATGGGTGGAGGGAATATAATCATTGTAATTTAAAGATATGGAAGATTTTCAAATAACTATATTTTCCTATGTTATTTTTCTGATATCCTCTCTAACAAATGTATCGTTAATCAGGGAAAGTTTGCTTTGTTCATTTGTTCCTAGTGACAATTAATGTTTCACCATATTTTGTGGAGTTATAGCTCTAGAAGGCAAGTAAAAAATTGCAAGCGTATCATATAACCTAGCTGAAGTCATGACAGAACATAGTTATATACTATGAAAGTGAATGGTAGCTTAATAATAAAGTTCATTTAGATTACTTTAAATCAAATGAAAAGTTATACTTAACTTGTCTGTCATTTTAAAAGGACTAGGTTTTCAAATGAATAATGAATAACTTTTAATTTATATCTTTGAGTATCATATAAGTGGCATTCAAGGGTTTCAGTAAAATAAAATAATCTACTAAATGATTTTCCAATATCCTTTTCAGAAAATTAGAATATGCTGTGCACAAGAGGTAATCATATAAAACAGAAGTGAAATGGGGAGGGAATGTAGCTCAGTGAAGCCGTGCCTTCCTGGCCAACACAAGGTCCTGAGTACAATCCCCACCACTAAAAATTAAATAAATAAATAAATACATAAATACATAAATACTTAAATAAATGTTATACTTTTAACGAGCACATGCCTGCACCCATACACATAAACACAGTTCAACCCAAATAAAGCTATTTGTCCTCATAAGATTTCTTTTTAATATCTCCTGTTGTACTGAGAAGCCTCCTAATTGTTTCTTTAATTATCCCTCCATATCTAACTTCATATCTTACCTGATAACACTGTCTACACAATTGTTATTCCTTAGTGGAGTAGTGATTTAGTGGTGGCTAATCTTTTCTATTTCAATTCATGCTTTCCCTATTGTCTATTCAGTACTAGGAAAAGTATTTAAAGTGACTTAAACACTACCTCATTTCCTTTTGCTCTAACTAAATCATGTATTGGCATTTGATGTAATTTATGTGTCATAATTTTAGATTTGTTCTATGCCAGACCCTGTACAATTTCATTTGTTCCCTCTCAGTTTAGTCTTCATTTCAAATAGTGACATGAAGGGACCATTAATTAAAATGTTGTAAAAATATAATGCACACTTGCTTAAAATTAGTGTTCTCTTCAGTCTTCTATAGAAAAGTTATTTTTACATGAACGTGTCCACAATTCTATATCATTAGGCCTATAGATACAAAAATGAGCTAAGTATGTTCATATACAACTATCAAACTGTATGTCATATAACAAATATATATGACTTAAACGTTTCAGTAATCTTACCTTATGATATTGCTATTATTTCTCTTAATTATTTGGCTTTTTCATGAGTATGTTTCATAGTTGGTAATAATATGTGGAACAGCTGCAAACTTTCACAGTAATAGGTACAATCGAATCTGATGTGTCTAATTAATTTTTAGTCCAACAAATTAGTTTTGTTCTTCCTTACTCTCCAATGGGAGGGAGACATTATATTTTTTTGTCTGCAAGAACAATGGAGTGTTACAGGTCACACACATCCTTTTCTGTGCTTTAATTAGTCCAAATGACAACATTGCTTCTAAAATACTACCAACATGAAAAAAGAAGTATGCCTTAGCTAATATAAATATTTTATGGAATCTACGAAATTGAAGGGCAAATTTTCTTTTCTATTGCTCTGTAAGAGTTATTTGTTTTCTTTTTAGTAACTGCTAACACTTAAGAATATTACATCTCTATTGAAAGTATAAGCTGTTTTAAATATAATTTTTATTCTGTTTATATGTATAAAAATTAAAGGTAGACCTATGGGATAAAACATGTTTACCTACGTGAATCTGATATTTAAATTTAGAGCTTAACATAAAAGAGCTTCCTTTCAGGAAGGAAATGTAAGTGTATATAAGGTAATACTAGCAACTATAACAAGCTTTCAGTTTGATTAGCTTAACTAAAGATTTTGGGGTTTTTCCTTATTCATAGCCTATCTAATATAGGTCAGCAGGAAAAGGAATGAGGGTTAAGTTCACACCTGGCATTCTCAGTCCGTGGATCCTTCTAAGCAATAGCTCTACCACCTTTTAGAGACTCAATATCTTCCAAAAGATCCTTTATTTCTGACACATGAGGAAAAAGAAAGAGTATCAAGTATTGTCACAGCAGTTTTATGCTTTAGTCCACCTCATCTGTCCCAACATAATTCTGGCTAAAATTCAGTTACTTTGTCGTACCCAACTTCAAGAAAGGCTGAAAAATTAAGGCTAATTTTCTGCCCTAGAAAAAATGGAGAATGGTAAGCAAGTCTCCTTAATTTGTAGGATTCTCAAATCTAGATGATTTACCACTTTTGTCCTGAAAAGCTCTTAAAGTACCTCCTTGCATTACCTGAGTCATAATTCTGAGTCAAAACTATGGTGCTCCCAATGACCTTTTTCTATGCATCATCATAATGAATCCTCCCGTAAATATGAAGTAGAAGCACTGTTGCCAACTAACTGAAACAGAAGCTTGTAAGATTAAATGCCGTACGTAAGTTTACTGCTAACTTACGTGGTAAGCGGAAGAGATGGTATCCCAATGGAGGACATCAAAGATCATGTTCTTTTTAGTATGTTACAGAGATGTGATAACCACAACAGTGATAATCCCACACATTCCTTTGCTTTGTTATGCTACAATATGCCATTTATATTTTGCTTGGAGTTTGCCCTTGATTAAACACTAATAGTGTATATAATATATAACATATAATAAAATATATTATATAATATTAGCATTATAAATCACTTAATTCTCACTGCCTAAATTAATCTACTAAATAAGCATCAATGTTATAATTATTTAAGTTCAAAATCTATTTAAAATGTTTCTATATTCTTAATTATCTTTGAGAGGTCTAAATTTTCGAAACATGACCACTTCTAGAATACTAATCCATTTGTGAATGTGTGTTTTAATGTAGAGACCTTAAAATTAATTATAAAATTATTTTTTATTCAGCAATCAAATGGATTATCAAATTAACTTTAAATAGTATAAGGCAGTAATGGCAAACCTTTTATAGACGAGTGCCCAAATTGCAAGCCAAAACTCACTTATTTATTGCAAAATGCCAACAGTGCAATTAAACCTAAATCCTGAGGTATTAGTTTAGAAAAAGCAACTCACACATTAACATCTTTTGTCTTAAAAGAAAAAAACAAATAATACAGGTGCCATAGATTCAACACGACTAGTATAAGGAGTAACATGAGTCTTACCCTTTCTTCATATTTTAATTAGGCATGCTAATCTCTGAATTAATGTTTTCATAATTGTAACTGTTTTATATAGTAGCTTTCATACCTCCCCCCAAAATTAACATATATTTGTACAAAATAAAATCTCCAGTAGAATATGAAAAAGTAATAAAAAACTGTTAATCATGACCATTTGAATATAGGCAGTGCTGTAGCAGAAAAGCAATTTTTATGTTAAATAATTGATTTTTATGAGAACTATTTAAGAAAACACTTTAACCCAATAAAAGTTGCTAACTGGGCACAGTGGCACAAGGCTGTAATCACAGATAGTGGGGAGGCTGAGGCAGGAAGATGTCAGGATAGAAACTAGCTTTTGTCTCAAAATGGAAGTGTAGCTGGGACTGCAGTTCAGCGCCAGAGTGGTTGCCTAGCATTTGCTCTGGGCTCAATCCAAAGTACAAAAAAAGAAAGTGGAGGAAAAGGAAAGAGAAAAGAGAAGGGAAAAGAAAGGAGGGGAAGGGGAGGGAAGGAAAACGTCGGTGTTATTTCGGATCATAGTATTTGTTCATTTACTTATTTATAAGGCTATACATCAAAAAGTGTTTCAGAATTTGTTCATGGCTACTCGAAACAAAAGGGAACAATGTTCTTAATCACACTTCTAAACACATTTTATTTTTATTTTTAAACTTACAAAATATACTTATCAAGATAAATGTTACCTGATTTCAACGGGGTTTTCTGTGCCTTCGGTACACCATTTGTGTATCCTTGTGTTTGTTTGTGTCTGGATATTTACTAGCATTGCTGTTTCTTCCATAGGGGGACGTAATGAAGTTGTCATTACTGAAAACAATAACAGCATAACTGAGCAAATCACTGACGTTGTGAAGCAGCCAGCCTTTATAGCTGGTATTGGTGGTGCCTGCTGGGTAATTTTGATGGGTTTTAGCATCTGGTTGTATTGGCGAAGAAAGAAGAGAAAGGGACTCAGTAATTATGCTGGTAAGATATTATTTCTAGAAAATTCTCAGAAATTTTCCACTCTTTGGAAATGTAGGAAAATGAAAAGAGGAAATATAGTGGAATAATGAATGATTTTGGCTTATTTTAAAGATCTACTCTGTAAAATGTAATTATAAACAGCATGCTTTAATGCATTGATTTTGATCATATCACTTTATGATTATAGGATTTTTTTGCTTGTATCTCCAGTGAAAAATAGCATAAATACAAGTTGATAAAATGCTCAGCTGTTTTTGCAACTACATCTTCAAAACCACACACACACACACACTTACAAGCACAAACACACATACACACTTTGCAAACTATAAAGCAATTATTTTAGATGTGTATGTAGGCAAGAGCATTACTAACATGCTCAGAAATAAAAAGAGGTTTGAAATATAGCTTTTAGTATGTCACAATGTAGATTACAAGAGGGAATGTCCCAGAAGGAAAACACAGACAAGCAAAAATCTTATCAAAATTAATAAAACTGATGAGGCATGAATTAAGTGATTTACAGCTCACTTGTTGAATGAATTTTAATGTCATCAGGGAGCATTTTAAAGTAAAAAATAGAAAAGCTAAGAAAAAGAAGAAGAAAAATAAGCAGATGCAAAAAAAATCTGAGGTGGTCTATATGCTTACAGTTATTTTCTTAAAATCAAAGATAGAGTTTCAAGGAAGTCAGAAATGTATATAATCTTAGCAAGATGAAATTTATTGTTTACTGTTTAGTATGAATTTCTGAGACTAGAGGAAGTACAAGAGCATCTCCACAGACAAAAGGTTTAGAGCCATGACTTGATGCCATGCTATAATTCTGCCATTCTCACTTTTCCACAGTTGTTGGCTCCCTGCTTCCTTATATTTTATCACCTAAGTGCTAACTCATTTCACCAATTAGAGGCTCTTTCCTGAAGGGAGTGCTCAGCAGTAACTGCTCAGTGTCAAATCTTGACCATTTGAAATACTTGAATGCACCTTCTTATTTTACAATCCATTCCTCTTCCTCTTCCATGAAAGTATTGTCCATCAGTCCCTGAGTATTGCCTCATCAGTCTCTATTATATTTCATCTCCATGACGCACTTGTATAAATCATGTAAAACATAAGGAACAACTGATTTAATTAAAGAACAGTTTTGTGTTTATCCATTCTCTTGACTTTAGCGATAATAATAAAAATTATACTCTCCAAGCTACTACAGGTCAAAGTTCTAATATACTCCAATTTGAAATGATGCATTTTTGATTTCCTTATTTCTCCATTCCATAGTTGGAAGGTTTGCAGTTTAGTATGATTTATATCAGACAGATTTTTATTCTTTTTTTTTTTTTTTCATAGCAGGTCTTTGCAAAACATGTGCACTTAATTTGAAAATATCTATTGGTCTTTCAGTTCGACAAGAATAGTACATTTTTTATTATCATTTTTCATTGTGATTGATATCCATGTGCTCAGAAGAACTGCTAACTCAGAATGTGCTATGCCCTTCAAATATTTTGGAAGAAGGCCAGGGCAGAGAGAAGCCTTTCAAAACTTTTCTTAATTGATGGATGGCTGACTCAAAACGGATTTCCCTTCAGCTGGTCATTTGCCTTCTAGCAACTGCTCTTCTCCTCTTATGGATGAAAAGCAAATAAAAATTTGCTCTACCTTGAGTATCTAACAGTACATGTTTCACTTGTGATGATTTTTACACATTTTTCTCCAAAACTAACCCATTCTCAAATGTGACATTCTTTTCTTTATACAACATTGAGAACATGAGATTGTACATGGAAATTTTTACTTGGATTCATGGAATATATTTTTAACACAGGTTTATATTTCTTATATTTCAAACATGAGCCAATAATCCATTTTAGGACAACATAAATTTCATACAGAATTATTCTTCTCTGAAATGTTTTATAAAAATCACAGAGAAAATATTCTATTTGTGCTGGTCCTATTTATATTTTGGTTTTCATAAAAATTTTGCTTATGGTTTACAAGTATGAAAACTAAATAAATTAAAGCAATGTGATTTCATTCACAAGATAAAAGTCAGTTTCCATTATTCAGAACATGATAATGTATAATAGTCTCAAATATATGTTTACATAGATTCTAATTGTTAATGCATGGGATTAATAATTGTTTTATAATAGTCGATTTTGGAATCAATATTCAAATTAATTTATAGCATAAGATACTTCATTTATTTCAAGCTCCAATTGTCTGATAATTAAACATTTGATGCAATTGTATATTGGCAGACATGTTCTTTTAGTAAAGGTAGACTGAACATAAGTAGGATTATACAGACAGCCATGTTTAATTTCCACATTCGCTTTTTCCTATCCCTCTTCTCCAAGTCTCTTCTTACCCCCTAGAGTTAAGATAGGAAAGATGCTAACTAGTGGGAGGCTAGGAATACCTTGTAAGGTGAAATACTAATTTTGGGCAGAATACCTTCCATTCTCTACGTACAGAAAACATCATTCATTTACTTTTATTATTTCTGATGTTTCACTTGCTGTTATTATAGAAAATTTTATTGAAAACTTAGAAAAGAAAAAGACTACTAAACTGTGCTTTTGATATCAGAGACTTTCACATATTTATCATTTAACATTAATCAATTAAACCTTAGGTTGCATAACCAAGCATCAAGAATGTAATATAAATTTATACATTTAAATTATATGGGAGAAGAATTTGGCCTAAAGATGTTCTGCTTCTTTACACAGAATAAAGTAGGGATTTCTCTGGGACAGTGTTACACATATACTTCCAGTTTTATTTTTTCTTATTTATCCTTCACTTAAATTGTTCAGATACAAATATTCATCATAGATTTACTCATGTCACTAAGAGGGTTGCTGGAACAAAGAAGTATCACATATGTAATGTGAAATAATTCTACACTTTTACAAACCAGCCAGCAGTGTTATTTATCTTTTTAGTGAGCACTGAAAATCTCTTTATCACTGTATTTGGTGCTCTTGAATGCTAACTTCACTGTCTCCGTGTTTAAGGTAAAAAAAGAGAATCACAGAGAAATTTTTTTGGGGGGGATACAGCAAATTAGGTAATTTCGCATTCAAATAAAATGTTTTATTATATCAGTAATATTTTTTGTGTGTAGGTAAATGAATAAAATAAGGTTGAAAACATTTCTGTGGCTTTCATGAGGATTGTATATAAACATATTAAAATCCTTATGAAAAATATATGGCTCCTTTCAAAGTTATTCTATCCATTTGTCTGTTTAGAATTATCAAAGCAATCAAATTGTAATGAAAGGGTAATATGCATTTTCTGAATATTATATCTGAGAATAACATTTTATGAAATTATTAAATATAAACAATTTAACATCCGTGAGCAAATTATAGTGTGCTAAATACTTTGCACTGTTTAGAAAGTTTAAAGCTCTTGTTGAAATACAAATTATTTGACAAAACTTTCCAAAAGCTGCTAAAAGATTTGATAGAATTTTTATACTCTAATTATCCAGGGTTAGTTAGTGCTTATTAAAAGAAGATTAATTTATATTCATTTTTCAGGAATAGCTTATCAGGACAGGGAAGGAGGTTTGGCGCAATACTAAAGTGTACATTTGGGATAAGAAAATGTGACTTACTAGAAACAAGCACTCTGAAATATTCCTTTCATAAAAATGTCAATTTACCACATAGTTACATTTTCCTCCTCCTTTCCTCTAATTCTAGCATGCTTACGATTAAGATGAATCCTGTTGTGTAATAGCAGATGTAGTTTGTATATATATGACATAAACTTACAAAATCTCTTAAACTTATATTCATCATAAAAATTGCAACAAATTCAAAATATTTCATGCCTATCTAAAACATTTTAGATGGTAGTGTCTGTGGAACTTTCTGGAAATTCTTTGGCTAGTCTCTTAGAAGTTCCAATATGATGCTCTCTAAAAGTTCTTAATTTGAGATGCTAGCAGACACTTCAGATTAAGTATCATAATTATTTCATCTCTGATAAGCACAGTGTTGCTGCATTGTGATTATAAAAATTGTGACAGGAGGAAATTGTCCAAGCATCAACCACACACCCTCACTCCTGATTTTTTCTACTTCAAGGTAAATGTTTATTTGAATTGAGAACTACTTCAAAAAACGCTTTCAGCTTGTTAAGCATTTATTTTTTATGTTCTCTCTGCACACACACACACCATGCTGATCAAAACATCATTTATAATTTCCATTTTTTGAGTTCTAAAAGTTCATCCTTATCCGTAGTACAACTTTAATTTCATTGTCTAATAGAGCTAAATTTTGCTATACTTTTCAAAATGGAATTAATTTACAAACTTTGGAGCAAAAGGTAAAAACGAATATTGAAAATATGTTCTCTTTCCCATCTTTCTTTAAAAACACAACTCATCAATCTTATTATGATAAAGAGTGCGTATGTGATGGTAGCAGTTGTTTTTGTTGTTGTTGCTCTTCTTCCTACTCCTCCACCACCTTCACTGCTATCTCCTTCTTCTTCTTCCTCTTTCTCCTCCTCCTCCTATTTTTCTTCTTTCTTCTTCTTTTTGACAGAAATATGCCGAATGGAAGATTCGTATATATGCCAAAATGAGTAGGGGATATTTTAGGTTAGTCAACTGTTTACAAATGTCTATGAATTTTTGCCTTTGTGTAATTGCTCTATAATGACAGAAATGAGTCTTTTTGGAATGTGTGACAACATATCAGCACTCCAGGACCATTTAGAAAACATATTTTAATAATGACTGGGACACAAAAAGAAAATGTGCATGCTTGGAATGCTGAACATGAAATTCATTGAAATTTAAATTCTTTTGATTACAAAATTTAGTTCTTGATTGGCAAGTATGGGCCATATCACAAGGTCCATACTCAACTACACCTACAAATTAACTACACAGAGTGGCACCTTTTTTGATAAGGTTTTCTGTTTTACATCACAATACTTTAAGCTTTATATTTCATAAAGAATCTACTATAAGATAGCATCTAGAGTTAAGTGCAACTCCATTTCTGTGTACATCTACTTCAGTTGTCTTCTTTTTCTCCATTATTATTTATTGCTCTGGCACTGAAGAAAATTTGTATTAAAAGAAAAGGGATCTGAATTAGGGAGAACTATTTAGTTTTTTCACATATCTCTTAAACAGCACATTTTGAGGTGTAGCCCATTATTTCCATATTCACAATAGGATTCACAGTACAGTCTTAACTCTCTTTTAACAGAGTAAAACAATCACTTGACATTTCATTTAAAAAGCTCACATTATTAGAGAGCCACATCACATGGAAAGCTAATTAGCTGTACCGCCTTCACACTGTGTTTTTATGTGTGGAAGTGCAGATGTACACAAGTGTGTCCTAATCAGGCCTGTACATAACAGTTCTGCTGTTTGATTCTTTGCATTACTTGTTTCAGATCAACTCATTTTTGTTAAAAGTAGTTATTAGGTTTACTGCTGATTCCTGGTTCCTAGCCCTTAAGTGGGAAACTAGTGATTAGTACTTTTTCTTCTTTGCGGAGCTGTCCATAGCCAATTCTGGACAAAAGAGAAGTTGTTTTAGGATTGCTTTACAATGTTTTTGAGATGTTAATTGAAAAAATTGATAAAGCAGTATATTTCAATGCCAACAAGTTATGAAGCCCTGATGTAATCTCATAAAGCTCCGAGAGATCCTTGGAATTATGATCATGTTGCCTAATTACGATGTTATGAGAGATAATATTATTAAATGATCTTTAAGAAGGGACTAGAGAAGGCCGGGGATTTAGCTCAGTGGTTCCGCCACCTGCCCCACAAAGGCAAGGACCCAAGTTTAATCCCTGGTACCAGGAAAAAATAAAAAAAGAAGGGACTAGAGAACTGCCCTTAGAAATCTTTAAAAACATAGAGTGATCATAGGTGGTAGCTAAAACTTCCGAAAGAAAGGAGATTTATTCAAATTTAAAAGTACTCATTATTTACACATTATAAGCAGCAATATATCCTGTTTATTTAAAGTATGAATTAATTCATAAAAATTATTTTCCCCTTAACTCAAACCAAGCATAGTAAATATAATTAATGTTTTCAAAAGGATGTGTTGGTTGTTGGTTTCACAGTTGTGAAAATGGTATTGTTTCCCCTTGAGCCCAAGATCAGTTAGTGGATCCATGAGAATTTTGGTTAGAATTACAAGTTCATTTTTTCAGTTTTGTAAAATCCATACACTTCTAACAAATTTCATTTCCAGAATTTTCTAGTCAAGTAACTTAGCATCAAAATTTGATCCAAACTAAGTGAAATCATTTATAGTTTTTCCCACTATACATGCTATTCACATTTCATTGCAGAAATATTGTGTAATTTTGAGTACAATCTGTTATCTTATACCCTCTTGGTAGCATGTAAACTGTATTACTCTTCTCAGATATGAATCACTTTGAAATCCAAATACATTTGGCTGCAGAGGTCTGGGATAAAGGATATGGATCTGTACTAATATTTACATTCTTTGGCAGATCTTTGAAACCATTTTCAGGTTTTTGGCTTTGTGAAGTGAGAGCCATTGATAGGAAGGAGTGGATTCACTGACCCCAATTCTGTGTCATGCTTGCCAGTATTGCTAAGTTCCATTGTTTTATATAAAACTTGAGCTTCACAATCTTTGCATACAGTTGTGTCTGTTCAGTATCATTATTCAAAAATTTTTATTTTCTTGAACATCTTATTCTATATTAATTATAATTCATTTCTATTGTAATTATACTGTTTAATTTATGGTTCTTATGAGTGTACCTTAAAGGACTTGTGATAGAAATATTTATTCAGTAAATGTCTATTTCTTTTGTTTTATTTGAAGAATGTTACCTGTTGGGATGATCCTGTTTCAATTTCTATTATGTGTATTTTGTCTTATGCCTTCTAATTATGACAATTTTGTGTTAAGATAATCTTAATTTAATAATTCCACATTAATGCTATGTTGATCTTTTAGTAACATTATGTATACCACTTACAACAGTGTTTGACATCTAAATACAAAGTGCCACTTTAAGTTAACTGTACATCTGGATTGAAGAAACTTGAAATATTGTATTAAAGTTGAAACAAGTGTTGGCTTTGCCCTGAGCTAAACTACTGCTTGTACAATCTGTACAATTATGTTAATTATATTTTGTTAAAATTCCCAGGGGCTTCAGCTCTAACCTGAGGTCCAATATGTAGTTGTTATGAATTGCAATTAATATTGACTGTGTGTTTGTTTGTGTGTGTGTGTATATTTTCCTTTTTTTACAGTTACATTTCAAAGAGGAGATGGAGGACTCATGAGCAATGGAAGGTATGCTAAGGAGATTCTTTTTTTATTATTATTTTTAATCAGGACTGAGGAAAGTCTGTAGTAAGAGGCTATTATTGTAATAAATGATCACTTACAAGTCAGAGAATTCTAGGAGGAATTAAATGGCTTACCACAAGGTTTAATGATCTATCTGTTGTGCACTTTAGAGGAATCAAGTCCAGATGTTTCATATCTCCCAGATGCCCCTGAAGAAATTAGTAGTAAATATCACAAGGAATGTGTTCATTTGTTAGCAGGATGTTTATTGCATTAATTAGGCATTAGCAAATGAAGTTGCTGTTGTTTAAGACTCCTTATTGGCTCTCACTAAATTGCTGTGAGTGAACAATTACACATAATCGATCACAAAGTAAATGATTCATGGATGATGAATAGGCTGTAGATTGATAGGACTGGATTCCACAACTTTGGATACTCAATTGAAATTGATAAAAGCTGATAACAAACCCATATATCCTCATCTATTTTCCCTTTGCCAATATGGAGACTGTAATTAGGCTCTGGTAATAACTTCCAATCTCCCATTTAATCAATATTTTAGCAAAAAGAGATTAAGTCTAATGAGAGCTAGAGGATGTAGCAAGAAAGCAGTTGAATCTTCTTATTGCAGTTTCCATAGAAACACATGTTTCTCTTAGGAATTATACCAGAATGGGTCTATCAAAAAAAGTACAATGATTACAGATGTTCTGTTTCTTGGTAAATACGCTAATAATATGAAAAAGAATTAGAATCCATCTTTTGAATTAAAGAAGGGAATTCTTTATTAAACATAATGTGAAGGAAGTTTTCCTTGTAGGTTTATACTCATATGCTGCATCAGGTGACAGTGGATCTTCTATTATCTTAGAAAAAAGTCCCTTAATATACTCCTAATATTTTGCAATTTAGAGAACTAGGAAGTGTGCTATTGATGAAACACTGTAAGTACTGTTCATTAACTTTCCTCAAGTTCTTTGCCTCTAAATCAAGAGCAAGGGCTCATAACAAGGGTGACTGCCTAAAGAGGACAAATTTGTGTGGCGGCTGCAGGAATTGAGAATGCAAGGGCCCAAAGCCCTGGAAATGGCTGACGTTGAGTAATTGTTCCCCTGAGGTGTCAATTTACCATCAGACCTTGTTTAGGGATCCTATGTTACCAATTGCCACTACTTTCAGGGCAGACCACAGGTTTCATTTGGACGTAGGCAGAATCCCAAGCCAGTACTCTGCTTCCGCTGACAAGCATGATCTATATATAGGCTTAATGAACTGCTGAAGTTCCTTAATTCTAGAAAGCCTACACATTTTAATTTGAAGTCAGTTAAAATCTTAAATAACGTTTTTTAGGGCACAAGACAGATGTCAACAATTTACACTGAGCCTCATAGGCTAATATCTTTCTCATTTCTACCTTAGCCGTCCAGGTCTTCTAAATGCTGGTGATCCCAACTATCCGTGGCTTGCTGATTCATGGCCAGCCACAAGTTTGCCAGTAAACAATAGCAATAGCGGCCCAAATGAAATTGGAAATTTTGGGCGTGGAGGTAAGTTGTGTCTTTCAAAATAATGTTACTTGGCTTTGTTTTTTCCTGTTTGTCTAGATTGATTTTTAAAAGTAATATTAGTATTATATTTTACAGTTAAAATAATAAAGCACACATACTAATAGTGCTATACGTTTTCTAAATATTTTAATATAAAACTAATATGTCTATATTGCCTTAATTGAAACTAAGCTCTTTTGTTTTCAGAAATACTAGCATAAGATTACTAAAATGAAGACTGATGCTGCTAAAGAGGGCTTATGATTTTGAACACATGATTTACTTCTCTAAATTTCCTTCAACATGTATTTTTGAGCACATATAATACCAGAATAAAAAGAAATTGTTCTTACCCTGGTGTAATATGTCGTGTGAGGAGAAGACAGCTAAGTAAATATGACGAAGTGTTCAGAACGTACTTTCTGTAGTTCCACAGTTGATAACTGGTATACCAAGTGAAAGATAAAAGAGTACTATGTAGTTACTATGTAGATCACATGATAATGCATCCAGAATTTGGTGCTAGCGTCCTCTCTAGGTTTTCATAACGAGACAGAATTGAATCTACCATGATTACTGCTTCCTCCCAAATCTATCTTTTCATCTAATAGTTGGAAAAATGAATTTAGAGAAAGATGAGAAGAATAAAGAAGTCTTTGACCCCAAAATTTGACTTACCAGTTACATGTGTGTTTCCCCTTGGTAAAAGACTCCGAATAGTGAATGAACTTAAACTACCTCGTTAGTACCCTACATGAGAAGGCCACCTATTTGGTCTCAAAAAGTTGTGTGAAGGGAGTGTTATACTGCAGGAGTCTTTCCTACTTTTGAATTCATGTCCTTTACATGGTTGTAAATAACCATATTTGCATATCTTCAGGAGGGTTAGGAGGACAAAATAGTGAACAAAGTATGTGCAGAATAAATTATTGTATTTAAAGTCCAGAAATAAGACAGTCATTGACCTCTTCAAGAAGGGAATGGTGAATTGGTGATGTTGCTCAGCAATTGGACACTTGCATGTGTACACCAGGCTTGGGTTTGATTCTCAGCACTGAGGAAGAAATAAAAAGAAAAGAGAAAGGGAGAAAGGAAGAAAAGAAAAAAGGGAGATAAGGATCTAGGGAAGGAGGGAGGGAAGGCAGGGGATTTTCTAATGACTTGGGTGAAAACTGCAAGGCAGCAGGGGTATTAAAAATAACACAGAAGGAGACATATGTTTGTTTGCTGTTTCTACTTCTTGGTCTGAAAATGTCTGTTCATTTCTGATGCCCATTTTTGGATTGGGTCTTTAAATTGGGGAGGTCTGATTTTTTAAAATTATTTATATATTCTAGATAGTAGACCTTTGTCTGAAGAACAGCTGGTAAAAAATTTTTTCCCACATTGTGGGTTGGCTTTTCACTCTGTTGGTGGTTTCTCTTGCAGTGCAGAAGCTTTTTAATTAGATGAGATCCCAGTTGTTGATTCTTTGTGGTAGTTCACATGTGACTGGGGTTTTGTTCATGAAATATCTTCCTACACTAAGAGAAACAGCAAATAAGCATATGTTCAGCTGGTCATTCACGAGATGCAAGTGAAAACAACACAGACTCCATTTCACTACAGAAAGAATGGCTGCAATCAAGAAATCAACCAATAACAAATGGTGGCAGGGTTGTGGGGGAAAAGGAACCCTTCTCCACTGTTGATGGGAGGGTAGACTGGTGCAATCACTGATTTCCTAGGATTAGAGGTCCCATTTGACCCAGCCATTCCCCTGCTAGGTATCTTCCCAAAAGAATTAAAAGAATCACACCACAGCGATATATGTGAGCCCATGTTTATAGTGGCACAATTTGTAACAGCTAAAACAGGGAAACAGCCCAATTGCTCATCAACTGGTGACTGGTTAAAGAAGATGTGGGGGTTTTTAAATATAAAATGGAATACTACTCACTCGTAAAGAATGAGAAACTAGAGAAATTTATAGATAAAATGGATGCACATTGAGACCATTCTCTTGAGTGAAATAAATAGGACACACATGTTTAAATACTAAATACTTTCTCTGGTGTGAGAAACTGAAAGTGTAAACAAGGATCAAAATGTAGAACAGATAATGTGAAATAGGAAGATAAGGCTCAAGGGGGAAGGGTAAGGGAGGTTGGTAGGGGAAGGGAAAGGAATAAATATAAGAAAATGAAAAAATGGAAACAAAATCTTTGTAAATAGGGGTGGAAAGGAGGATGGGGAAGGGGGGAAAATAAGAACCAAGATGCATCATGTAAAGGTACAGATTCCCAATGATGAATGTCATCATATTTTGTGCCTAAAATGGACCAATAAACAATGAATATTAAAAATTGCAGAAGGAGACAAATAAGAAAACATTCTAAGTCACATGAAGAGCTGAAACTGTTCAAAGGGTAATATGAAGCCACTGATGGTTTTAGAGAAGAATGCTACGATCCAAGCACTTTTTATATTATACAACCTGCTGCTCAGTGGAAAATGAAATTAGAGTAGGAGACTGAGGTGATGAATGAAGAGATTTCTGTAAATCAAAGAAAATTTGGATAAATCCTCTGGAAGATTTCTACATTTGTGGAAATTTAATTCATTTAATTCAGGGAACCCAAGACTGCTAAACTATTCTGAATTTTACTAAAAATCCTAGAAGGTGGAGTTTTCATGCATAAGTACATAACCATAGTAACTTAAATAGATGAACAGTTATGGATACTGACATTTTTCTCTTTAACAATGGATTATGAATGTCTTTGAATATAATTAAACACTGTTTAAAATAATAAAGTTATGAAGTCATTAACAAGCCTGCATTTTGTCACTATCATCTTTAAGAAGGGGGACTCCTTCCCCTTATGTAAATAGAATACAGAAAATAGATCTGTAATGAAAATTAAACAGACAGAAAAAGATATATGTATGGATATATATATATATATATATATAGGTTTAGCATAAGCCTTAGCATACAGTTAGCGTCAAACAGCATGAGTAGAAAATGAGAGCAAAGAAAGCAAATTGTATGACTCCCCAGCTTCCTGTTTCCTTGTGTAAGCAAACTCACCCTTAGGGTTCTCACTCACCCACACACTGCATGAGTAGCTGCCTTCTCTATGTGATCAGACTCAGAAACTATACATTATCACTGTGCTTTGGAAGTTTCTGGGCCTGAGCAACTCTACACAAGAAAAGCAGAACAACCTTCCACTTACTATGCAACCGGACTTTGTCTAAAGAAATTCAGTTCCCAAAGCTTTCATCAAATTAAGGAATAACTGCCTCTTTGACCTGCCATGTTTGCACTGGATCAATAAAACATTCTACTTTTTTAAACTTTATATATCCTTTTATTGGTACATTTTGTGTGTACAACATAATGACATTCATCATTGGAAATTTGAACCTTTACATAATCTCCTGGTTCTTATTTTTCCCCCTTCCCCACCTTCCCTTCAAACCCGCCGTCCCTCCCCGTTTACAGACTTTGTTTCCTTTTTTTCATTTTCTCACATTAATTCCATTCCCTTCTCTCCTTCCTCCTACCTGTCCCACTTCCCCTTCCCCTTTGCCCTTTTTCTACCGATTTCACATTACCTATTATACCTTTTAGTCCTCATTTACACTTTTAATTTATTGCACTAGAGAAACTATTCGGTATTACCACATGTGTGTCTTATTTATTTCACTTAAAAGTATCGCCTAAATGTGCAGCCATTTGGCAATAAATGTCTCTAATTTTTCATTTTTTATGGCTGAGTATACTCCATTTTATTAAAAAAAAACACATTTTCTCTATCCAGTTGATGGACATTTGGGCTATTTCCAAGTTTTAGCTATTACAAACTGTGCTGCTATGAACATGGGTGCGCATATATTGCTGTGGTATGATTCTTTTAATTCTTGGGGGAAGATCCCCAGCAGGGGAATAGCTGGGTCAAATGGGACATCCAGTCCTAGTTCTTTGAGGTATCACCATACTGATTTCCACAGTGGTTGCACCAGTCTACACTCCCACCAGCACTGGAGCAGTGTTCCTGTTTCCCCAAAGCCCTGCCAGCATTTGTTATTGGTTGATTTCATGATAGCAGCGATTCTTTCTGGAGTGAGGTGGAATCTCAGCATAGTTTTCATTTCCACCTCTCAAATGACGAGTGATGTTGAACTTTTTTCATATGTTTATTTACCATTTCCACTTCTTTGTCAGAGAAATGTCTGTCAGTTCAAATGCCCATTTTTTGATTGGGTCTTTAAATTTGGGAGGTCTGATTTTTTTAAAGTTTTTTATAGATTCAAGATAGGAGACCTTTGTCTGAGGGACCGCTGGTGAAAATTTTTTTCCCACATTGTGGGTCGTCTCGTCACACTGCTTGTGGTTTCTCTTGCTGTGCAGAAGCTTTTTAATAAGAAGAGATCCCACTTGTTGATTGTTTATGTTAGTTCATGGGCAACTCAGGTTTTGTTCATAAAATCTTTTCCTACACCGATGTCTTCAAGAGTTCTACCTAACCTCCGTTCCAGCCAGTTCAGCATTTCTATTTTAATATTTAGATCTTTAATCCATTTCGATTTTATTTTAGTACATGGCAAGAGATATAGGTCTAGTTTTAATCTTTGGCAAGTTGAAACCCAATTTATCAAGCACCATTTTTTTTCCCATTAAGTTTATTGGTACATTTTCAGTATAAAATACAGTTACATTCATCATTGGGATCTTGTACCATTACATGAGTATCTTGGTTCTT